TAATCTTGTCTCGTTTGTCCCGTACCGTCTTTGTTGTTTCCGTGTTGTCTTAATTTTGTCTCTTCTGTCCCTTACCGTCTTCGTTGTTTCCGTGTTGTCTTAATCTTGTCTCTTCTGTCCTTTACCGTCTTCGTTGTTTTCGTGTTGTCTTAATCTTGTCTCTTGTTTTCCTTTTCCTTACCTTTTAAGGAATGTGCAGTGTTTATCCTGATGAAGACCTTTTTTATGCATAAATTATTTACTAGGACACATAACGAATTAATATACAAAGACGGACAACAATAAATGACAGCTGTACCGTATATAGATTTATATGATAGGATGCGGATCAGGAACAGATGTAAAGAAAGGCAGACTGATAGGAATGAAGACACCCTACTGTGTAACAACACAAAAGTAATCCCACATCTGTAACTATATCTGATACTTTTTACCATCGTAAACTCCGTATGGTGCGAGTTGTTACATTTATCACCACAGATTCATGCGACATTTGGAAGTGGGTGAGTTTTTTTTTTTTTTTTTGATTATATGAAAGAATGACAGCGGAATGTTATTTACATATTTTATGTTTGTAGCGCCCATCCTTCATGTAATGAGGCAACTAATATTGCTTTAGATAGGGTTATAATGATTATGTCGCTTAGGGGGGATATAGAGAAACCCAAATGGACCTGTCGAATCTATTTCATCACAAGATCCCCCCCTCTCTCTCTCTCTCTCTCTCTCTCACACACACACACACACACGTCTTTTATGCGTATGCATGAAGCAATTGACAAAATAACCATCGCGTGTGTTAAAAGTATGCTTGCAAGTTTGACGACATTAATCCACCTTCTCTGTTATGCATCAGCTGTGTTCACTGGTCTCATTGGTCTGTATCATTTACACTGTACATGCTAACCTTGAATGTTTTTGTGACAATAAAAAGGAAATCAATGGGAAAATAATAAACCTAACACTAGCAACAAAACACTTAATGATACAAGTTTTATGGTCGTTACGAAAGCATTGGAAAATACCCTTTTGGACAACATATATAGATAGATCGTTTTCCCCATCGTGTTATTCTAGTTTTACCGTCTCGTGTCTTTGGGCAAATTTTGGTTGATGAAGTTACCAGTAATCCTACTTTCTCTCAGTTTTACTTCCAAATCTGGCTTTGCCCTCGACTTAGTATATTCTTTTCTTGTCTTCATACATTGTATCGCCGACCTTAAGGCCCCAGTAACCAATGGTGTAACCAGTGGCCGAATTAGCGAAATCCTAATGCAAATTCCAAAAACGAATGTTCAGAAAGCCTTAGAATGTTTACTTCTCTATGATAAAGGACCAGAACGTATGCTTGCTACGAAGAAACGTGATTATCGTGAAGAGCATCTTTATTTCAGCCGAAATTTACTCCCCTTCGTCATGAATGTATACTATGTTTCTACCATCATTAAAAATAGTTGTGGTGAAAGCATATTGTCGACTCCTAGGTCGACCTCTAGGAATCTCTGTTGGCAGTGCAAAGTATTCCCTTAAAGAACTCAAAAGGCGTTATTCTGTAAACGACATAATGCGAAAGAAAAATGGGGCTGAGCCACAATTGGCCGGGTTGTGGGATGAGTGCAATGTTATATGGTATTTATAAGACAGTTCAGGGTGTTTCATTTGTTGAGTATGTAGAATATTTGTTATAAGAGAGAATGTTTGGTTGTATTTTATGAAATGGTGCAGAAGAAGGGCATTTGAAGAAAGAAGTTGCAGCCATTTTGATTCGATGTTAAAAAAATAGAGAATGGACATCTAGGGCCCCAAGGTGATTTATATGTGGAATTTCGGAAATATTGTAGTAGTTTCGGAAAAACTGTGATGACAAGAAAAGTTTCAGAAATGGGCAACAGATGATGGACCATAGACGACTGGTGATTTGATCAGCCCAGTATGGAAGGTGGGCTAAGACTGGTGATTTGATCAGCCCAGTATGGATGGTGGGCTAAGACTGGTGATTTGATCAGCCCAGTATGGATGGTGGGCTAAGACTGGTGATTTGATCAGCCCACTATGGATGGTGGGCTAAGACTGGTGATTTGATCAGCCCAGTATGGATGGTGGGCTAAGACTGGTGATTTGATCAGCCCACTATGGATGGTGGGCTAAGACTGGTGATTTGATCAGCCCACTATGGATGGTGGGCTAAGACTGGTGATTTGATCAGCCCAGTATGGATGGTGGGCTAAGACTGGTGATTTGATCAGCCCAGTATGGATGGTGGGCTAAGACTGGTGATTTGATCAGCCCACTATGGATGGTGGGCTAAGAACTTAACAGGTTCTTTCTTTATCTTTGTAATGTAAAGTGTTTTTATTTGGCGAGGGGTTATATTTTGCTATATTCGGCAAACGTCCAGTACAATTGTGATAATAAGTCAGTTGTATTTGCTATCAATTATTACAATGAAATAAACTGTATAGTGCGAATTTTAGATCCCGCGAATAAGTTCCAGAAAGAAAAGCGCGAAATTTTGACACCGCAAAATTAAATCACTTTACAGTATTTTGACGTCATGACTTGATATTGAATTTAAGTACCATAGAACTACTTTGAAGATGTTATAATTATAGAAAATAATTCAATAAAACATTGCTGTACACAACTTAATATTGGTATTGTAATACTATTCCCTGCCAAACTGCGGAAATGACTAAGTTCCAAAGCCCGAAAATCCAGAAAAAATGTCCGGAATTAATCCATAATAGGAGGTGCACATCTTCAACATATATATAAACATCCTACAAAGTTTCAAGCTTCTACGTCAAGAACTCTAGGAGGAGTTGATTCTACAAAACTGGTACCCCTTTTCCCCACCCGACCGCCCGCCCGACATTCACCATGCTATAACCCGGATTTGCACTATGTTTAACTCAGCCAAGAGTAGCAAAAAAGATTGCCATGGTTACGGAGTATTTCGATTGCAATTAACATGACTAGATATACAAAACGTGCCAATTACTGTGAATGTTGATATTTTTGAGGGATGCTCATAAGAGGACAATAAAGAAAACTAGTCAGTCACGTGGCTTCTTACTCCGAATCTGACAGACACTTTTGTAACCTCTAACTTCGCAAAGGTGATTGACTATTTATTGCTGAAGTCCGCACAGTAAGATCGGATAATAAACTGGCCGACCAGTTGCAACATCTGTTATAGGAGTAAAGCCTTCTATACAACTGATAAAACTGATTTTGAATAGACAGATAAAAACTGTTACTAAAGTTATGTACTGAAGCATCCAGTTATAGCCAAATTAGGGAAACCTTTATAACCTCGTACAATTCGATACTCAGAAGACAGTAAGCGCTGCTGTTAAATAGGGATGGAAAATTGTCCAACTAATGGCTTAAATAAGAAAGGGACATGGGCGTAGAATCTTCAAATCCTCATATGTCGCAAATATGACATGTCCATCAGCAAAAATCTGTTACTACAGCATTCATATTCCAGGTTTGATAAATTGTTACACAGTAAGATAAGGAAATCTGATAGATACAAGGTATAACGCCTGGGTATATATTTCAGTGTAACAGATGCTTCATTCTTAATCATCTGTATTTTATAGGTGGCAGGAATTTCCCTGGATTTTTTTTTTATTAAAGGAGGAAAATAAATAGTACAAATATAATGTCAATAGTTCTAAGGATCGACAGATTTACTCAGGGCAAGTGTGTTCATCTCTGTACAGGTATCAACAGGTCATGTTCACTATAAATAATATATCAATAAAAACACAAACTATTTCATAGAAATGTTAATGAATTTATTACAAAAATATTAACAGGTGAACTAGGTGGAATCAGATTGAAAGCCCCTGATTATAACAGGTACACAATGCAAAACAAACCCTACACTACCCCATATGGTAGTAGATGGTGACAGACCACTATCACAGACAGGTGCCACATATATACGAAAAATTAAATTCAATATTAAAAACAAAAATATGAATACAAAATTAAATGTATGTAAGAATAACAAAATAAAAATGCTATATAAAATAGAGTTTATAAATGACTGAGAAAGGCACAGATTGGTCTATAGCGATCTCTCGACTAGTTTATGTAACAGTCTTCATTTTCTACAGTTCCTATGTTTGTCCACAAATTATGCCTATCCATTAATTAACCATGCCCTGTATTTCACAGAAATCCCACGGAAAGTGAAATCTGTGAAAATGAAGACTATTACAGCTTAAAGGATAACAAAAACTGGTAAAAAAGTAGGAAATCTTTACTACTGACTACAAAAATATACCTTGTATATCAACAGGGAAGGAAATATTGAGACCTACATGTACGTCCCTCATATAAATATATATATTATGTCTTTGGGCACCCTTCATTCCTCCAATACTGCTTGGATTCTTTACCACAAAAATACTGTAATTAAGATATGGTATACAGCATGTATACCATATTAAAGAATTAACATCAAAAATTATAATTTAGATATAGATTTGGAGTTGTGGATTAAAACCTCAGAAAAACTGATCTGCTGTTTGCCTTGATTCATACACCCTTGTTACAGTCTCACTTACATCAAAATATTACTGTAATCTCAACAATGTAACAAGCGCTGGTAACAACCTTATCATGTTGTCTAACAAATTTAAGGAGGTGATAACAAAAGACAAAATATTAGATTCTGGAGTATACATTTCTACGTCACACATGTCAAATCTGTTAAAATCAAAAAGTGTAAATGTTCCTCTTTGATAATTGTCTTGACCCAATATATTAAAGCTTTGATGAATAAATATGTGGTAATACTTGACTTGTGCATGACTAAATAAAATGATAAAGACAAGTGTGCGAGTACCACTGTAATCACAGATAGTATGATATAATCTTCTAATCACCTGTTCACTAATACATATAAGGTATTTACGTTTACAGCTTTTAAAGATTTTTCTTTTCTTCTGTTTAGATAAAAAAATGTTTTCTGTTGGTTTTTTTTTTGTTTTTATTTTTGTTTTAAACATAATTTATAACCCCTATTTCATTTTTTTTCATTTTCTTTGTCTATCGGAGACTGAAATGTTACAGTTTTCTTTTCAGGCACAACTTCAGTGGGTGGGGTGGGTTCCTGTTGGATTGGTTGGGGTGGTGCTGCTGAAGAAGTGGTAGTGTTACTGATGGGTCGTGGATGAGAATGGGACGGAGCCCTCTGTTCCTCCAGGTCCAGCGAAGTCTGCTCATCTATCATCTGCTGTGATTCAGCATTTGACATCTGCTCCCAGACGAAACTGCCATGACGCTAAGATATCAAAACAGAAAAAATAGAATGAAAAAGTAATACATAAAAAAGTCAGAGCTACTGGAAGAAAATGATAAATACTGCCACAGTTCTTTCCGTTTTCACAAAATAACCACCCCAAAATACAAGAAAATTGAAAAGTTGTCGGTAAGTACAGAAATCAATCATTGTGATTTTGATTCCCTGTTTTCACAGCCACCTTGACTGTAAATTAAATCACATAGAAGGAAGTGGCATAGAAACTTGATGATATAATGTATCAGAAAACTCATATTCCAAATTTTAATAATCTGAATTTAATAACACCAAAATTTGAATGGAGTAAAAACCTGTACACAGGATACTATTGTAAATTATCTGCGAGGTCTCTCCAATACAGAAAGTTACTAGTGCAGTTATCCCAGTTCATTATATAAATCCAGTATAACAGAAATTCATTGCTAATCTACAAAGAAATGAATAAAAAAAAGTCATAAACAAAAAAATTAAAACATTCGTACATGTACGATAAACATGCAGATGATATCTAACATTCAGAACATTTTATGTATTGAATGTTTCTGATGGGTTTTTTTCGTGTTAAATTTGAACACAACACTCAGAGCATTTCTTGTTTCCAATGTTTTTAAAAAAATTTTTTTTTACTCTAAATCATGTCACTCAGAAAATTCTATGTTTCTGATGGTTTGTCTGGTATATTGAATTTGAATGACTCACTTAATTATACTTGTTTTTGTACCTTTCCTACAACAATTAGGATTTTTAATACCTGACAAGGTTAGTAAAGATTAAAATTTTAATAAGTCTGGTTATAATATATTAGATAAGAATAGTTTTAAAATCTGATTAAGTTCACAATGGAACTATATGTTCATGATAATATTTGGAGAATTAAAGACCTTGAAACAAATTTATGAAGGAAGGGTTAATCCTGAACTGACATTATGAATCTCATCATATAGATTTTTTAAGTATAAATGAGTTGTAATTGCTAAATTCACTTCCTTTAAGTGTGATCTGCTTGCTATCTTAGTATCACAGTTGTAGTGATGTGTACTTCTGTTGCCTTACAATCAAACAATCCATGTATGATAAAAAGTATCTCTAAACATGTTTATGTCTTTAAATAGATAACATATTGAATATCAAAACAATCATTATTTCCATTTTACACCCCCCCCCCCCCACTCCCCCACAAAAGTTCACACTCATTTTCTTTATTATCAAATTCTGATGCAGTATATAAAAACATCAATAATAAACAAAAGATGACAAATAACATCCATGAAATTAGTAAACATACAAGCAAATGAAAAGTGACAAATCTTTTCAGTACATTACATACTGATCTCATTAAGACCTGCACCAAAATTCTGGTTATAGAGGCTAAAATGCATTTCAGCAGTTATTCTTTTAATGAATTATTAATGTTGTATAATGGAAAGTTATGTTTAAAGAAATACTCATGGTATGATGTAAATCTAAATATGATTACAAAACCTATCTCATATAAATTTCTTTTACAATCAATGATGATATTAGCCCAACATCCTTTCAGTATTTTCATGAAAGCAAGGCAAGAATAAAATGAAATGAAACACATTCCGACATTTAATGTCCACTGCCCCAACCAGACAATATCTTGGTACATTACTTCACTTACACCACACACAACATCAAAACTCAGATGTCCACAAAGTCCCATGATAGGAAGGTTTTAATTCTAAACTAAAGATTATGTTCAAAGCAAAGAAAAACAAATATCCTCTTCAAATGATTGTTCTGTTTTAATCAAATGACTGCAGATCTAAAATTCTCTCACCTGGAAAATATCCTTTGGTGTTCTCTGATTTAAGAATGAGAAATATGTCATACGGAGAGCCAATAAAATTACACCATATGTACATAGCTCTGTATTCATATACTTACTTCCTATTTGAAAAGAAAAGTTATAAGCACAGTAAATGTCATGAAAGCTGGAAAAGATATCTCTTGACTTCAGGTAACCATGTATTATTTACAATTATGTGATGCATGCACTAGTGAGGTTAACACTGGCCTCTATTTTACATGCAAAATGATTATAATGATATCGGATGGTTTTGCTGAAATATAAATATTTGTGTACCATTATACCCAGTAATTAGAACTGAAGTGAATCCATCAATTATTTTTTTAAAGGACAAGCTCAATTCATTACATAGATTTTTTTTCTCTTGATGATTACATCATTTATGAAGGAGAAAAATCAATAAATAAAAACAGCCATGTGTTTTGCGTAAATACTTTTTTTTTATTTGGTTGTCTTACTAATTACTTAGGTAGTTTTTCATTTGTTTTATTCACTAAGAAGCCTCCTTTTTGTTTGAACTGCCCCCTAGATCTTTTATAACTGAAAAAAGCATGTAAAACCTCATAAATGAATCAATTTTTTTGTTTTCAAGTGTATGTAGGTTATATATTTGTAAATACATGTATTATCATCTACTTTTGTAAATATAAATACATGTATTATTATCTACTTTTGTAAATATAAATACATGTATTATTATCTACTTTTGTAAATATAAATACATGTATTATTATCTACTTCTATCAAGTATTTAGAAGCATTCACTTTTCTAAGATTAGATACTTGTTCATGGTTTACAGAATTCTAATAGCTTTCCCAGCCAGCTAACAACAACGGCCAGGAAGGCAAGGTTTCTCACTTTATTCTGAAGAGTGAAGGGATATACAGAGGCCACAAATCATACAGTAAACATCCAAAGCTGGACGGGAATCACAAAACAAATAGTTACTTTTTCTTATTGAAGATGATGAATCCAATTTGCTTTAAATTTCTGGAAATATATGCAGTAATTGATTTGTGATGTTTTAAAATAGAATTGTTGACTGAACCTTATCTATTCATAACTACCCAGGGTAATACATTTTAATATTCTATTTTTATATCACTAAATGATTGTTTGATTTGACAAAACTTGCATTGATCAATAGACTATATATATATTTACCTGTCACAATTCATACATATAATACTACTGTGTAGCACAATACACAAACTACCCTAATGTGTACTACTTACTACAGCTATATGTGTAGATAAATCATTACTTCTCCCAGTCTATGAAATGTGAACGATGTGACTAGAGGATGAAAAGCTTTCAAACACATGGTGGTGAATCTATTGTAACCTATTACACTTATAAAAATAAAAACACAAAAAAAAAAAAAAATCATTCCCAGTTGAAGTACTGTGATTCTGAAAACTAACAGTAACAAATGCTTGGATTGAGTTGCAGTCTGATAAGTACAAATGTTTTACTTGTAGTTATAATCTTCACTTAATAACAACAAAAAATATTCAGAATTGAAAGATATGATGCCAATATATGATCTTGACATGCAAACTTTTATCAAACAGCAATAACTGTCAGTTTTGTTCTGCAACAGCTATACATGTGGTGGTCATGAGGTGTACTTGTTCTATATAATACACAATTACAGCAGAACATATTCTAGTCTGATACAATAGAACTATCGACCCTTAAATTGGTAAGGCCGTGTGAAATAGGATAGAGCCACTAAGCTGGAGGCCCACAATACAAGACTTTTGATATATTTATATAAAACAATATAGGGCTGTCAACAAAAGGACAGTCATAACAAGACTACTCCCTTTGTTTACTGCCAGCAGGCTACATGCCCAGTTGGGAGTTGAAAGAACCTCCTCAAACAAATTTCATTCATTCGCTATCATTAGCTTACCTTAGCCCTGATAGGATAGTTTGGATCCAGGCGACTATTATATTGATGCTCATATGAGATCTTCTCTTTGAAAAACCGTTTATTTTGATCTCTGGCTGGTAAAAAGTTCACAGGTACTGAAAAATAGAAAATTCAAACTAATATTTTTATCAACACAAATAATAATTACAAAACTGGTTTTCTTTTCAAGATTCACTCATAAACATCAAGCTTCATTCATAAAGGCTGTCAATTGACCAGCTTTGGTCTGGTCACATAACCTATCTTAAGTCATGATGATCTGAAAATTATGAACTGGCCAATTCATTGTTTCACAATATTTCTAGCAACATGACCTGACCAAATATGACTAAATTTAAGAAAAAAAGGTCCTAATCTTGTATCTTGTTCTGCTGTGACATGGCAATACCACACAAGTATACTAACGTGAGTGAAAAAAACACACTAGGGCCAAGGTTTGCAACTTCTCATGACGACTTCTACATGTAGGCATGGTATGATAATCAGATACATGTCAATTTTCCAGAGTTAGAGTTAATAACAATGATGGACCAATAATAAATGATAATTGGAATTTAAGGATATGAAAATGATTCATCATTGTTTGAAATCTAGGAACTACAGAGATCAAGTGAAATTCTTTATGTTGTTGCTAACTTAGAGATTACTTATAATGAGCTGCCTTTAAAGGCTTTTATCATTGGTATTCAGTCAGAAGGATATACAAATAATGTTGATGTTATGAATTCAATACTTCTGAAACAATGATTTTTACAAAATTACAATTTCACAATGCAAGAAACAGACAACTTAACGTATGGAACTGATAACAACTCATAGTAAATAATTTGGCATTGAAGGTTTAAAGAGTAACAGATAAACCAGTGATATTTTTCTTTTCACAGGCAATTCAGGACAAATCAAAGTGAGCTTGATAGGAATGGTTTGTAGGAGGAATTGATACAATTTACAAATATGTTATAAATATTTAACTGCATATGTATTTAGTTTGTGTTAAAATTTGATAACTTCAACTTCTTACTGAATCATTAAAATCTATCAAATACATATTTATTCAACGGGTATATATTTTTGTCTTGTGTTATTCAATAACATTAGCAGATTATTGCATTAAATTTCAAATGTAACTCAATATTCATTAACATTTAATCTGATGGCTGGCATTACATAGTTGAGTGCCCAAGTGTAAATTCAAACAGCTGTATTTCCCTAACAAAGCTCCTTATACACATAAACTGGTATGTGTATTCATGGTTAGCACATGGCCTGATGCACTTGTGTAAAGGCGTGATCACTACCCAGATACAAGACAATAAAGTTCAGATCTAATCAGGAAGATCAAATCGAGGTGTGCCAGAAGGAATGGATTATTGGTTTAAATGACACATGATCCATGTTGTGCCATGTGACATCTGGAGGTTCAAAACAAGGTTTGGTACAGACTGGATTCATGTAACTACAATTACTAATTAAAAATCCCACCCTACAAATCATGTGTTATGTACATCATGAAATCCAATAACATTAACATAGTCGGTTTTATCATCTGATATCAAATCAAGCATTCAACTCAGCTCTACAAAAATTTAAAAACCTACCCTTACCCCTACTCTAAAAAGCCACTTTGCATCTCCATAATGACTTTAAAAGATGTATCCTCAGTGATTCAGTGCAACAGGCTTTTATATTACCTGTATGTCACAAGCTAGCAAAAAAAAAAAAACCCCACACATATTGAGGTGATGGCATCATACAGCATGTCTGTCATAAGTTTCATATAAACTCTAAACAACGATCTATATCCTCTTCAAATTAGTTACAAAAAACAGTCAATTCAGATGCAATGTATTATCAGTTCTACCAATCAACAAATATGTCTATAAATGCCATTTACCAAAACAAAACAAAAAGGCGATCTATATTGTCTTTTTGTTTTGTGGTTCTCAACACAGACAAATCTTTGTAGTAATAGCTATTTTTCTGATAAGAAAGGTTGGATGGATCTTTAATATAAAACTGATAGAACTGATTCTAGGTTGAGGATTAAAATTCCACTGATATCATCAGAATTAAATCTAAACTGACAGTCTTAAAGCTGAAAACATAATTTTATCTCAAATTGCATATGTTTACAATATTTTAACATTTCATACTATACTGACCTGTTCCCAGGGCTGGTTCTCTGTGAACATTTGCACTATGCCTCGTTGAACCACTGCTTTGTACTCTGTCACCATCCTGCATGAAGTCTCCTCTGTACACAGTGTCCTTAGTTATAGGAGGTACATCCAGAGGTTCATTTGATGTCCTAGAAGGCCACCATAGATTCTGCTCATCATGTGATGAGGCTGTGTATACACTACATACAGGTTCATTTAAAACTCTAACATTGTGTCTTAAAAATCCACAACTGCCTGGATGTGGTCTATTTACCCTGTAATCAGGAACAGACCGCGGCAACACATCAGTTTGTCTGTTATAAATGTTTGGAAGCGTCAATCCGCCGGCTGGTGTTTCTCTTCTAAAGTCAGACGTAGTATCTGATGATGTAGTTGTAAACTTCGGATGCAATTCCTCAGCATCTCCACTTATAACTCGGAAAGAATCAGGACTGTTGAAAAAATTGTTTGATTCTTTTACTTGTGGTAACAATAGAAGTAGTCAGTGTTTCAAATTTGTGTTATATTGGCTGTATGCTTCACCAGGGCTTGATAGAATAGCATCAACATTCATTTAGGATACACTGAATATTGTAGCAATTGTGACTTCTGCAATTGTTGTGCCATGTAATGAAAGTATTAAATTGATAGTTTTATGACTCAAATCTTCAGATCATTATTGTTTACTGTTTACAAATTTACAAAACTGTGAAAGAATACATTTTATCGTTCAATGAGCGTTATAAAATGTGTAGAGTCTACACTTGTACTGTATGCACTGCACCTTTTAGCAATATTCGTTTTCTGTTAATATGTCTGTCTTGTTAAGCGTTCATAACATCAATTGCATTTCAACATATGTTTACCATGCGGTACAATTTATACTAAGGAAAAATTACATACTGGCATCAATCAAATTTTCAAAAAAACTTTCGTTGGTGAAATTGAAAGTTATTATTGCAAATTTATTTAGAAAACAACCACACAACTTACTTATAACGCCCTGAAACCCTCTTCTTTCGGGCAATTGGTGGCATGTACAGTGTCATGATGGTGGTCTTTTAAAGGCAGACAAACAAATGAATGAACTTCATAACTTATTACAACAGAAGCACACCAACGATCAATTTGCCGCCATATTGTTGATAAAGATCGTCTCTACGCAACCTACTTCGAAACCGCACTTTCGTATTCATAAATTCTTATAATAATAAAATGATAGTAACGTTTTTATTTAGTTCTACTTTGAAATAAATTATTATTAACAGCACGATTGAATTGTCTTCCTTTTATATCAGTCCTATTAAAGCCCATTTTATATCAAAGTAGACCATATTGTGACGTCACTCCTGACAACACAATATACAATATGGCGGCGATGGTCAGACTCCATCGCCAAACTGACCAAATTGTCGAGGAGTCGTATCGACGGAAAAAGTAAGACCTTTCTTAGAATCAGTTGATACAATTTTATATTTCATGGCATAGTTTGATACCATGCATGCCGTGTTTTGCCCATCAAGTTTATGTTTACAAAATGTATCGACACATTGTATCATCGGTAAAGTGTGATGGACCTGGCAATTTTTAAGAATAGTGGATAGCTGCAATAACTATGCGAAACATTTTTTGGCCAATTTACATTGATCTTAACGTTATGATTATACGTTTTAGAATGTATAGATATGGACATAGAAGTTTCAAGTCTTCATCCATTATCTATCAAATTCCTAAGAAACCATGAGCATTAACTTTCTACTGAATGTATCAAACTCACCAGCTCATTTGATTTTATCACTTTAACCTGATATTAACCTTGACATGACCTGTTTAAATTGTGAAAAATCCTAGAATCACATGATATTTAATTACCTTGGATCAGTATTTGATTTTCAAGTTCAGTTTTTGGATCTAAGATAGTCAAAATAATATTAAAATGTAAGATAAAACATTATCTAACCTCGACGACCATTTAAAACACTTTTCATTTGGAAGATGATGAGAAGTTGGTGATACTTATCTACTTTAACATGATTAGATTAATAGCTTGAGAAATGACATGTCGGCCCAACAAGTAAAATATTGATACTTTAACATTGATTACCAATATTCTAATTACTTGCTCATTTGGGAAACATGTGCAAATGAAAAAGGTAGATTTTCAATTAATGGAGGATCTTGTTTTCTAAGTTTGTGTCATTTTTTCCATAACACAGTGAAGCTGAAAATCAACGTGAAAAGGAATTTGTTGCTGCTCTTAAAATACAGGCATGGTTCAGAGGATCACGAACAAGAGCTTATATGACGTAAGGCTGTTGTGTTTATTTATTTATGGATCAGTGCTAGTATGATTATACTTTCAGCAATCTTTCTTTATCTAACATTTGTTAAAATGAATGAAAGCAAACAATTTCAAAATCCTATTCCAAAAAAAAAAAAAAAGAAAAAAGTCACAAAGAATCATCTTTTGTATGAAACAAGGAAAACTATGTTTGCAGATTACATTCTTCAGTGATGCTTTTTCGTCAAAAAGCATTTGAACCAAAAGCATTCATCTTACAGGAAGTCCATTGGGTATAAGATAAATATCACCATTTTATATATAGAATCAGTGTTATCAGTGCTAATCATATCCGTGTTAAGAGTTATGTAATCTACAAATTTCCAGCAGTCATGCAGATGAAAAAACATTTCAAATTTGTTATATTTTACAGGCATCTAAACAACAGCGCCAACACAATACAGAAACGATGGCGAGGGTATCTTGGGCGCCGCTACTTCAGAATTCTTGTCAAAGTAAGTAGATTGTATTTTTAAGGCTGTTATGAAAAGAGTAGAGGGACACTCAATAGCTTGACATGGATTTGAAATTAATGGGTGTGGCTTTATCTTGGCATGATTTCAAGTAAATGTTTTTCTTTTTAATTTCAGAATAGTGTACTTATCATGAAGCTGAATCACTACAATGAAAAAGCAACAAAGGTAAATTTGAAATAGTATACATACAAATTCTAAAGTCTGTTATAAAACTTTTCATTGTACAGGTGATATTTGGGTAATATCAGCCAAAGCTATACATGTGGTGTGTTTGTTTACTTTATGAGACCAGTTCACTGTTCATTTCAGATTCAGAAGATGTGGCGTGGATACTACACAAGGAAATATGTGTTTAATTATTACAGCAGGAAGCGGTATTTGGAAGCCCTACAAATCAAAAATGAAATTGTCAGGTAAATACATCTGAACTCAAGATTTACCGGACCCCTGAATATTCTGACTTACTGATAATTCCTGATGATATGTACCCTGTACTGACTGATTCCAGCCATTGAATTAATAACTACAGACTAGGTTTACCTTAACCTTAAGGGTGTTGTAATGTACAGGTATGACTTTTACATTCCAAAGTGACAGTTTTCATTTACATTAGGAGTTTATGTTGGTTGGATGACAACATATTTTACTGTTAAATGTTGTTTTACTCTCACTCTTAATAATGACAAGCCTTCCAACCCGATGTTTAGGACTGTTTCATAGTCACCATTTGTTTCTGTCCAGGTTGTTGATTTGTCCAGTCTTTTGGTTTACACATTTCTGCATAAGAATTGTAGAAAGTACTACTCACAACGTAAATGTCATATTCCGTTATTCAGGTCAAAACTTTGGAACAGCTCCATATATTTTTGTGATGAAGTTGTTAAGTAAAATTGTCAGTGTTACTATTACTATAGACTTATTTTAATACCACAAGCCCTCAAGTTCAAGATAACAGAAGGGATCCATCTTTCAGAAATTCTATCAAGCTGAGTTTGTAGAGTGTTGACCTATGCATCCTTAGGTGAAGATCTGAAGTGTATAGTTTACCCCTCCCCTACCTTGTTGTGGTTATGTTTTGGAGAAACAGACTGATCTGTGCTGATGTGGTTGTGTCCTTGGGCAAGACACTACACCCCAGTTTCTCTGGATGGCATGTGATGGGCCTACGGTATGTTGTTCAGTGAGGTAGCCAATGTTGACTCCAAGGAAGGTGGAATACGTGTAATGGGTGGAATAAATACTTTGATACATACTTCATTACAAGTAAATGATGAAAAAACGAAGTTGGAACTCAAGAGATGGAAACACAGTACAGTCCGAGGTAAAATATTGTCGATGATCACTGAAGCATAGTCACCAGAAGTTAGGTTTAGAAATGAAGCCTTGATACTGTATATGCATTGTACATGTGTCAGATGGAAACATTCCATTTTTTATAGCCAATAGACTTCAGGTGACTTGTATTGTTCTATAAAACTTAGTTATGATGATCATTCTGTCACATCTAAAGTATACCAAAGAAGACATTCATTTTATCTATGAATTTCAGAAGTGAGTTGGAGGAGTATGCAGAACAACAGGCACAGATAGCACATAAGAAACTGGAGGTAGAGGAATCAAAGAAGAGAGAGCATGAGGCACGCAAGTACCACTATCTGATCAGCACAGAGGTCATCCCAGGCATCTTCAACTCTCCGTTCCTGCCGTGAGTTTTGTCTAGAAATACACTTATGGTGATATCTAGGAATCTTGAAACCTAGGGGTCTGTTTTAAGTCTGGTATACTACTGAAAGTAAAACATTTTCCAATAGCTGCCTTTATTTGCAAGAGAGATCAAAGCAAAACTTGGAATTTCTGAAATTGCCTTAGTTTTTTACTTCTTATGAGCTATGTACCATATAAGTAAATAAATGAGAAGGAAATCAGCTGACTTATTTTAAGAATACTGTCAACAGGTATCCATCAGAGAAAGAATACATCTTACGGAGTGTTAAACCTTTAGTGCACAAAAAGAAAAAAGCACTTCATGATCCATATGATCCAGTATGCAGGAGTTATGACCTACCTAAGCCAAAGCAATTACCTCCCCTGACACAAAAACCCCAGGTTAGTACAAACATATATTGTTTTCCTTCGAAGCAGCTCTTTTTTTCTTGAAATACATGTACTGGAATATGTAATGTAATGTTCTGTATTTGTGAAAATACATTCCTTACCCAACCTTTCTGAAATGTTTTGAAGTTTGTCTTTTTCTCTGCAGGGACCGTTCCGCGATCCTACGGATGTACAGAAGCAGCGCTACAAGCCATTCCAGCAGACATTACGAGTAGCCACCTCATTCACTGCCCTGGAAGAGGCTAGACAAGAAATGAAGGCAGAGGAGTGGGTCACTAGACTCAATGATAATGTGTAAGTAACATTGATATTTGTACAGCATTACAGCTAGATTACCTTTTATGTGTTGACAGGCCGATAATAATAACCACTAGACTCCAGGTCAATCTATTCATTCATGATATATCTCTAAAGTGCTAATTTCTTTATCCAGACGCACTTTCACTTTTAATTTGATGAAATGTATACAGATTTGTTAGCAGTAAGTATAAATAACTCTGTTGCTAAGGAAAGTGAGTACCCCTAAGTATTGTCAATCTGATGATACTGTCAATTCACAACTGATGGTTATTATTTCATCTCTGTTAGATTTGTGCCGTTTACCAAAAAGGATCAGAGATATGAGCCAATGCTGCACACAACATCACAATATGGACATCTACCGTTTGGTACCCGTTTTTACCGTGAGGAGTTTCTGGACAAACACATTGTTCCTAAGGTACTGATTACTCTCATATCTTGTCTTTTCATTATCTAGTTTTCAGAAGACATAGATAATATGATAATAACAATCTTGTCATTGTTTGAATGATGAAATGTGGTGACCCTTTCATCATTCAAAAGGACAGTCATGGAAGATTGTCCGAATATGAACAGTCAACCTCAAGAGTTGAAATCACATTTGTTAGTAACATCTTCATTCTTATTGAAAGAGAAATAAAGTGAATCTGTTGTGAATTTTTATTTAGATAAAGCAAAGATAAATTAGAAAAGGCATTACTTGATTCCAACTTTTTGTACTATCAGACGATATGAGTTTGTCAATCAAACTTCACACAACCACACTCAGCAATTGAAGGCGTACTCAATAACTTCAAGCTTGAATAGGTCTTTTTTTGTGGATAAGATATATATATGTTTTAAATGTGCATGCCTCCAAGATTTCAACTGGTTTTCAGACACCGCCAGACATGATGGAGATATAATGAAAGAAAAGGCAAATATTTAAGATTGTTTTTACATTGGTAACTTGTGTTACTGGACAATATTGTCCTGTGTATTTGTATTGTATCGCTATTTGCAAATTTGTTGTATCGTATTTATGACACAGATCAGACAGAATGTTGAATTGTAATATTTATTTTGATCTTAAGATTATTCAGTCAAAAAATGAAATCATCTTGATTTATGATGTAAATTTTATGTTTATACAAGAAAATAGAAATACAACATTTTGCTGATCTTGTTTAAATCATAAGCATGGCTGTTGTGCCATGGTGTTGGTTTCTATGTGTCAGCTGTCTTACTAAGTAATGTAGGTTTGTTTTACAGATGTTATATATTGCTTGCACACCTGTGCATGACAATATTGTTTGTTCAATGCTGTTGATATCTGTGTATATATGTGTGTGTTGAGTTGTATGTAGCTCGAGCTTAAGTAACCAGGGTGATGTTTTTAACACTGTGGGCAGTTATTGGTGGAGGGAAATAATATATCATGTGTTCTGCTGTTTGAGTTATTGGTATTTTTAAATCTATCCTGTTGGATGATTTTACATCTAGACAGATCTTATTAGTAGTAAGATACCTGTATCTGGACATTCGTTTACTAATTACAATTAATAATGGACACAGGAATGCCATCATTATGATAATTATACTTAAAAGTTTATCTAGATTATCAATGTCTGGGAATTTTATGTAAAAAAGTATCAATATTCAATAACATGGCCATTTTTGTTTATCAGTTTGACCAGTTGGATCAGGGTTGTTTGTGTATAAAATAAGGGAACCTTCTAATCTTATTTCATTTTCTGGTAAGCTTAATTGACAGCCTTTCCAGGCCTGTATTTGCAGATCCTTCTCAATTTTTTTTCTGCAATGTTACATTTAAAGTGCCAATGAATCAATTTGTCCACGTAAATGAACAGTCTCCTGGATAGCATTAAATGAATAGAGAAACTCATTCCCAGTAGCTCGATTTATATGTAATAGAACTTAATGTTCCTCTGAAGAACTTATTTAGTATAACATACATGCTGGAGTCATTATCTCTATATCAAAGCTAACTTTACAGCATCATCAAAATAGCCTTCGAGATATTTCAGCCAAAATTTCTGCATGTTTTGTCATTATAGGGTGCATCTCATTCCACTATAGGACTTACCCTGGTATGTCAAAATCACATCCTGTTTGGGCGTATACACAAAACAACACATCAGCCATCTAGCATGGACCAACACAGGGAACCATTTGTTAATGATAATTATTTTATTTTTCAATGTTATTTACAATTGATAGAGATAAAGGTTGAACTGCATCACACTAATGTTGACAATGTTCTTTTTTTCAGCCTTTCAAGACCTTGGTTCCCTCCATTCCCATATTTGACAAACTCAATGACACCTACTCTCAGGGCCAGGTGTGACCAACTGCATTGCTAGGTTAAAGAGACCAAACTGGACATATCAAGACCACTGCTTAAAGCAGAACATTTATAAAATTCACAGTTAATACTGGTCACTAGGTTCCTTTCATGCTGATGAAACAGTGTATACTTAAAAGAGCAAGTGTACGTTTGAAACTATTGGAGTTTGAGGGTAGGCTATCTTCATTTCTTCAGGTGTTAACCTGATCGGATACATGACACTTCCTGGGACATGTAATGGATTATATCACTCAGACACTGCCTACCAACTCATTTTGGCAGAATTATTCTTAGATCATTCTGTAGATTGTTATACATCCAAGGCATTGGAAAAGGAATGACCTCTGTTGTAGTCACCAATTATTGTATCAAAATCATATTTTAAAAAGTCACATTTCAGTTGATAGAAGGGGGAAAAAAATGGATAAACAAGATGGAAAAAGACAGTTACAACTGTTTATGCACTCAAAACATATCATGCAATTGTAAAATTGAAGCAATTTCACTTGAATATGCCGAGATGTTTATTAGATCTGTCCAGATTATAATTCAAGGAAATTGCAAACTTGTGATGTATTTTTGCAGGCTGTGAATTTTATTCGTAATACTTGTTTTTAATGCCATTGTAAAGATGTACAGTACTTGTGTATAACTTGTGTAATAAAATTTGGAAAATCTTTGATAGCCAGTGTTTTACAATAGATCATGGAAATTACAGATGAAAGAAAACAAACACAGGCAACAGGGTCCTAACTAACAGGTACAAGAGGCAATTTATAGATAGCAAGGTCAAATTATTAACCAATGGGTGCAAGAGGCTATTTATAGAATAGTGACCGTGATCCTGACACCCTCAAACATGACCACTTTGAAGCTATTGTCATAGTTGACCTGTGTATATAATTTGGTCAAAATCCATGAAGAACTGTACTTGTTAGAGTGAAGACAATAACTCTGAACTGGACACAAAGGACATAGAAAACAGTAAAGGCCTCCCATAAGAAAATGTTGGTATAAAAACAATGAGCAGAAAAAGTACTAGACAGATACTGTACCAAGCAGATAAACCACTGCTTCAAAGTCATGTACCCAAATCTAGTGTATTTCTACTCAAGTTGGACTCCATGAAACATAACTTAGCTGTTTCATTTGCTGATGATTTTGACCAAATTCACATTGATCTGAATGTATGAATACATCCTTTATAGATTCTGTGAGCAGGGAAAACCCCTAAATATTTTTGGTGCTAAACTTTGAATAAAACTAATCAAATTTGCTTCAGATTTACAGGATATGAATAAATATAGATCAATATTAGATCTAATAATCATTAAATAACTTAAAACATGACATTATGGTAAATTTTACCAGAACAGAATTGTTTTCTTTGTTTTGATATCTGCTCTACTTTGCAAATGTTGTTGTCGCCTACAAATTTGTTAAACCTTCCACTGCCTGAAAATGAAAAGCTCCAAAAAACGATTAAGAGCGTCCACCGAGCGATTTTGATACAGAACTGCTTCTTGACTGAGTTCTTGATGCCCTGGATACTTATGCTTCTGAGAAAGGTCACAAAACACACTCATTTTTAATTGAAAAATCGCTGCTGCCCAATTTGAAACCAAGCAGGAAATGACTAACTCAGGTTAGACATTATTCTCCATGCAGCCATCAAAGAATTTTCATATTTTCTAAAATATATTGACAAAATCAATTATTACAAATTAATTACATTGTTTTGTATATTTTTAATTCATCCCATTATCGTATTTTGCCTGCGTAATAATGTTGGTCATCCTCATTTAAAATGTTGGACTATAACTTTTAACGAAATCCATTAGACTTGCACAAGATCTAGTACCTGTGTTCAAAATATTGAAAATAAACATCTTAACTGAAATGTAAGCATGGAATTTTGCATTTGTTGATTTCATGGGGTGATTCTTTGCAGTTCATTAAATTTGTCTGAAGAGCAACTCCATTCATCACCCCATGAAATCAAAAACAAATTCAATGCTTAAATAAACCTACTGTTTGCTGGCTTTATTACCCTATAAACGACCATGATCACTCTTACCTAGGTTCTCCTTGTAGTAGATGGTGGTCATATCCAGTGCTGAACAACCAGAGTAATTTCAGTATTGTGCTTTTTTACAAAGACATAACCTAGTGTACAATCTGGGATCCCTGAGAAACAAGTGACATGGGAAGGAATTGAGCCACAAATCTCAATCTTCACTTAATGTTGACACCTCATCACTAGGTTATCATGGGCCCTCAATAACCACACATCTCAATCTTCACTTAATGTTGACACCTTATTTACTAGGTTATCATGGGCCCTCAATAACCACACATCTCAATCTTCACTTAATGTTGACACCTTATTTACTAGGTTATCATGGGCCCTCAATAACCACACATCTCAATCTTCACTTAATGGTGACACCTCATTACTAGGTTATCATGGGCCCTCAATAACCACACATCTCAATCTTCACTTAATGTTGACACCTTATTTACTAGGTTATCATGGGCCCTCAATAACCACACATCTCAATCTTCACTTAATGTTGACACCTCAGTATTAGGTTATCATGGGCCCTCAATAACCACACATCTCAATCTTCACTTAATGTTGACACCTTATTTACTAGGTTATCATGGGCCCTCAATAACCACACATTTCAATCTTCACTTAATGGTGACACCTCATTACTAGGTTATCATGGGCCCTCAATAACCACACATCTCAATCTTCACTTAATGGTGACACCTCAGTATTAGGTTATCATGGGCCCTCAATAACCACACATCTCAATCTTCACTTAATGTTGACACCTTATTTACTAGGTTATCATGGGCCCTCAATAACCACACATCTCAATCTTCACTTAATGGTGACACCTCATTACTAGGTTATCATGGGCCCTCAATAACCACGCATCTCAATCTTCACTTAATGGTGACACCTCATTACTCGGTTATCATGGGCCCTCAATAACCACACATCTCAATCTTCACTTAATGTTGACACCTTATTTACTAGGTTATCATGGGCCCTCAATAACCACACATCTCAATCTTCACTTAATGGTGACACCTCATTACTAGGTTATCATGGGCCCTCAATAACCACACATCTCAATCTTCACTTAATGGTGACACCTCATTACTAGGTTATCATGGGCCCTCAATAACCACACATCTCAATCTTCACTTAATGGTGACACCTCATTACTAGGTTATCATGGGCCCTCAATAACCACACATCTCAATCTTCACTTATTGTTAACACCTAATTTACTAGGTTATCATGGGCCCTCAATAACCACACATCTCAATCTTCACTTAATGTTGACACCTCATCACTAGGTTATCATGGGCCCTCAATAACTACACATCTCAATCTTCACTTAATGTTGACACCTTATGTACTAGGTTATCATGGGCCCTCAACAACCAGGTACCTCACAACAATGCTTTAATATCTACATAAAAAACAACAAATATTCATGCGTATTTTGTTTTTTCTTTATTGACACAGACCCTCCATACACACATATGTACACACACCCTCACATAATTATCCATATACACTGCAGATCCAGGACAGATACTTTACATTGTACATCAGTACACTTAAAAGGGTTTTCAGTTAATCTTCATACAGGATATGTAGATAAAGAAACTTATTGTAGCATGTTTAGTTAGTACATTGTACTATTGCTGTTGATATGTATATTTTCTGTTAACGGATCACGCAGAATAAATATGCAAATCATTTAATTATTGTACACTTTTCTCTGATATTTTTTAAACAGTGAAATAGGCAGTAGTTAAATGGAATCCCCTGTCCAAATTCTTGTGGAGATATAGAACAAGCTACTATTTCTGTATTTCCATTATCTTCATAAGGATTGCTGTTGTTCTGACACATCTGGTTCCTCAGTGTTCTCCATCTGCATGAGAATTTCTGATGTGACCTCCGTGAACAATCGGTCCCAATCCCATGGTTTGTCTTCCTGTAAACACAACAGTTGTCACGATATTGGCAATGTCAATTATTGTGTGCAAATACTGGTACATTAGACAGACAAAAACCTTCAGGTACTGCAAACTTCCTGCATTTCTATTACATATTATGAATTTAATTTTCAATGAAATCAATTTGTTTCCACTCAGATGGCCGATAAATCTTATTTTGAATAAAAGAAAGTTTATTCACCAGAGAACTCAGAACAGTAATAATCAATTCCTCAATATGGAGTGTGTGTAAAATTACACACTCATGATATTAACAATTGTGAAAATAATGCCACAAAATAATGCAGTGAAATTAAAGTCTCTCATCGACACAACACCATACCAATGTGAACCAATATACTGAGCATCAAGTTACAGTGATAAGTTGTGCAGAGATTTTCACTGATGTCAGTCAAATGTCAAAATGTAGGTCAAAGTGACCTACTTTTGATACGTGACCCACTATCTTACCAAGGTGAACCCATAAAACAAGTATGAAGTCACCATGATTGTAGTTGTAGGAGACAGGGCCAAAACAGCTCTTTAATGTGCATGAAAGGTCAAAATGTAGGTGAGAATGATGACCTCCACGTCGTCTCATGAAGATGAACCCATATCCCAAGTACATGTACTAAGTTCCTGTGATTAGTTGTGAAGAAGACAGGGCCCAGACAAGATAGTGGAAGGATGGATGGAAGAATTAACAGACATATTGCAAAACTATACTCCCATCTGGTTCGTGGGCGTGGACTGAAAAACTTCACATTACAGGATCTGTCCATAACTGAATAATTTTTAAACTCTTTACCTCAAGTAAGTCGGCCTCTGTTGACATGGACTTGGTCAGTAACTTCAAGTCAATTTCATTATCCTGAAAATATAGAGCACCCTGCAATATACCTAGTATAAACATGTAGGTGTCAACATAATCACATATATTTCATCTTTCCACTTCATCTGATGATGGTGAGCTATTCAAAATCATTCTTGGACAATTTTAAGAAACTTACCAGTGTCAGAAAAGCAGCCTGTCTCAGTAGGTCATTGTCTAATTCTCTGTACGTAGCCACTCTATTCACAGCCACACTGTAATCAAACATAGCATTCTATACCAGGATAGTATATAGCTTTTCAAAATTTACCTTCCCTGTCAGATTTCCTATATAAACAATGCTTTCTTAAAAAAATCCAATACACAGTGAAATCTAGCAAGGCCCTCAAGTATTCTGATACCTTGTCTTATTGATGAAATCTTAAATCTAAATATATATATATATCTTCAAGGGAGACTTGTGTATACCAACATTCTGTCTATTAAGTATATATGTTGTTGCCTACAGTGAATTAGATTAGACAGGTTTCACTGTCCTGAAGGCAGCAAGTCGATATGGTAATTTAATACTTTGAGAGAAATTCTATATACATGTAAGTTACACATCATGTAAAGAATAAGAAAGATGTATCGATATTGTTAACATATAACATATAAATATAAGATATCATTCAGCTATGATATGGCAAGCATTGATAAATGATTTCAAATTAATCTGTTAAATATTAAGGTCGTACTTTGGAGCTACTGCAATGGATGAGGTGATGTCATCATCCTGTTGGTCTTCAAGGTCAGGTATCACAGGGATTTCTGTAACATATCTCATAAGATAATAATCATGTACTATAGAGAAATTTAATCAAGTTTATTATATTGTATGTTTTTAAAATATTTTTTTCTAAATTAGCACATTCTCTAAGACAACAGATACTGTACAGATTACAAAGCAGTAAATTCTAATTATATGCAATGTATAATGAGTTTGGCAATTGGTTCTCTTCACTTAAATAGGAGTACAAAAATGTTGTAGGACAATATTACACAAATACATAGCATACCGTTATCAGAGTCATTGTCTGGACTTTTAGGGCGTAGGCGTTCACTGTAAACAAACAAGTACATAAGGTTAGATCATGGTCATAGATCAAAAGGTTAGTAGATTCATTTACTATACATAATTTTGTATACCATGTGTCCCTAGTAATAGTACAGAATATTTAGTTTTAATTTAATTTTAATTTCTTCATTCTGTTTACAGTTTTATTGGAAATTTCTCTAATCCTGATATAAAATTTGCTTCATCAGGGTGTCTGGTTTGAAGAATTGTACACTCATTGTGGTTACAAAGATGTTATTTCTATCTGCATATTACCATAAAATGTGAGGATTGGTGCCTAAAACTTTAAATAATTTTATCATGTTAAAATAATATTTATCAGATTGAATGGACAACACTATAAAATTCTTGAGATGACAAGAAGTTGTACAAGCTAGGTTACTACGTATAAAGTTGCACCTGTAATAAAATAAATAAAAAAAAGAAGTGTAAAATTGTAAACAAAGGCATATTATGATTCCCCAACATAATCAAATTGATCATATCTTTACCTGGAATAATATAAAGAGAATTTGGTGATCCAAATTTTCAATATGAGATGTTTCTGTAAAAATCAGAGATTCACCAAGGGTGATCTTTCATAGCTCAACAAAAAACTTTGACAACAGATCTTTTTTTTAAAAAAAAAAAGGTTGCAAATGTAGAAGAGACTAAGCTATAAAGAACAAACATGTAGTATTAAAAGCAAAATAAAATAATTAAGACATATATAAACTTTATTTATTTTAAAACAACTGCGAAACAAGTTATCTCTACTTATACTAATCACTCTTGTTGGCCCTGAAGTAAGTATGGAGGGATCTTCCTGTGGGAGGAAACCAGAATACAGGGTAAACCTGTGTGGTCCTGCAGGTGACCCCTTACCTTTTCACATCTGTTCCGGGAATCTAATGCCAGACAGCTAGGTGAAAGGTAAGTGAGTTACCACTGTGCAACCCGACCATCCACATCAGATTCATCTCACCTTCCACCCATAGGTTTATCATGATGTACCTTCAGGCTTTTGGCATGTTTTCATGAATCATGATTTTTTAAAACCAACTTCTATAATGACTATTTCAATGTCATCAGTAATATCAGAATAAAAGTGTCCAATGCATAACACTATTGATACTACAGTTCATGTCTAACTCTGAAACACACATTATCAGTGCATATCTTACTAATCCTACAGTCCATGTCTAACTCTGACACACATTATCAGTGCATATCTTACTAATCCTACAGTCCATGTCTAACTCTGACACACATTATCAGTGCATATCTTACTAATCCTACAGTCCATGTCTAACTCTGACACACACATGCATTATCATCCTACAGTCCATGTCTAACTCTGACACACACATTATCAGTGCATATCTTACTAATCCTACAGTGACACACCATGTCTAACTCTGACACACACATTATCAGTGCATATCTTACTAATCCTACAGTCCATGTCTAACTCTGACACACATTATCAGTGCATATCTTACTAATCCTACAGTCCATGTCTAACTCTGACACACACATTATCAGTGCATATCTTACTAATCCTACAGTCCATGTCTAACTCTGACACACACATTATCAGTGCATATCTTACTAATCCTACAGTCCATGTCTAACTCTGACACACACATTATCAGTGCATATCTTACTAATCCTACAGTCCATGTCTAACTCTGACACACACATTATCACACACATTATCACATATCTTACTAATCCTACACATGTCTAACTCTGAAACACACCATGTCTAATCCTACATGTCTAACTCACACACATTATCAGTGCATATCTTACTAATCCTACAGTCCATGTCTAACTCTGACACACACATTATCAGTGCATATCTTACTATTCCTACAGTCCATGTCTATCTCTGACACACACATTATCAGTGCATATCTTACTAATCCTACAGTCCATGTCTAACTCTGACACACACATTATCAGTGCATATCTTACTAATCCTACAGTCCATGTCTAACTCTGACACACATTACACATCTTACTAATCCTATCATGTCTAACTCTGACACACATTACACACACATTACATCCATGTCTAACTCTGACACACATTATCAGTGCATATCTTACTAATCCTACAGTCCATGTCTAACTCTGACACACATTATCAGTGCATATCTTACTAATCCTACAGTCCATGTCTAACTCTGACACACACATTATCAGTGCATATCTTACTAATCCTACAGTCCATGTCTAACTCTGACACACACATTATCAGTACATATCTTACTAATCCTACAGTCCATGTCTAACTCTGACACACATTATCAGTGCATATCTTACTAATCCTACAGTAATCCTACAGTATGTCTAACTCTGACACACACACATTATCAGTCCATGTCTAACTCTGACACACATTATATCTTACTAATCCTACAGTATGTCTAACTCTGACACACATTATCAGTGCATATCTAACTCTGCATATCTTACTAATCCTACAGTCATGTCTAACACACACATTATCAGTGCATATCTTACTAATCCTACAGTCCATGTCTAACTCTGACACACATTATCAGTGCATATCTTACTAATCCTACAGTCCATGTCTAACTCTGAAACACACATTATCAGTACATATCTTACTAATCCTACAGTCCATGTCTAACTCTGACACACATTATCAGTGCATATCTTACTAATCCTACAGTCCATGTCTAACTCTGACACACATTATCAGTGCATATCTTACTAATCCTACAGTCCATGTCTAACTCTGACATATCACTAATCCTACAGTCCATGTCTAACTCTGACACACATTATCAGTGCATATCTTACTAATCCTACAGTCCATGTCTGACACACATTATCTGCAACTCTGACACACATTCTAATCCTACAGTCCATGTCTAACTCTGACACACATTATCAGTGCATATCTTACTAATCCTACAGTCGATGTCTAACTCTGACACACATTATCAGTACATATCTTACTAATCCTACAGTCCATGTCTAACTCTGACACACATTATCAGTGGATATCTTACTAATCCTACAGTCCATGTCTAACTCTGACACACATTATCAGTGGATATCTTACTAATCCTACAGTCCATGTCTAACTCTGAGACACATTATCAGTGGATATCTTACTAATCCTACAGTCCATGTCTAACTCTGACACAGTGGAAGTTCCTAGTAATCACTACCACACACATTAGAATACAGGTATATTAATAGTGATGGGATGCAACTTTCTGATTATCATTAAATGACAAATTACAAGAAAACCTTGTGCAAAATAATTGTGTTTTCTCCTTAACATTCTACATAGCTGGGTCACATTCTAGAGGAGTTTGTTTCTACATAGCGATGTCAACACAATCCTGGTCCCATCTGTCACCTGCAGAGCATCAGTAACAATAATATTGTACTTGGTTCCTTAGAAGCTTGGAATATGGCCAGTTTAAAACAGTTGCTAATTCATATACATGAATGCATTTTTGTCCATCACCATATAAAATAACAGAAAATAATCTAAAGTGTTGTTTACATATAAAGTGATTTGTAATTCCATATACTCCCTGTACCCAGTGTTTTTACATTGTTAATGTCCTGATCTTAACATTTCTTTTTTACAGATAAAAATACAAGTTTTAACACAATGATTCATTAGCTTTTGTTTAAACATTGGCACAGCATGAAGACTGATGACATTACTGTATTTAAAGAGATATCTTGATAAATCAAAGACCAGTAAACTTCACAGCATGTTACAAGTCATTGAAACCCTTTTTTCTAAGTCAGGACATTGATAAAGGAATAATAACAAAGTTCATTGTAACAAACTGACCATATTAGGTGTGGTAAAAAAAGGAAAGTGGTAACTGGTGCAGACATAACATACAAAAACACCTGGGGACAACACACTACTGCTAGTGGACCAGTGCAAATCAAAGCTTTACCCAAATTCATCATCAATCCCAAACAGTACATCTTGTTCACTGGTACAAAAAGTAAAAATCAAAACAACATGCAATTAAAATTGTGATTCATGTATGAACATAGATGCAATATTTGAAAAAATGATATTACCATGTGATGTTCTAGTAAATATATCCATGTATACTAAACGTTGCCATTCCTTGTGACTACCACATACGTACAATATATAATCACTATATATACTAGTATCCCAGTATTTAAATAAAATTAGGGTTGGCAGTGGGTATGTAATACAATATGTTGGAGTACTGGGTTTTATACAAGAACTTTTACAAACTTGCATGGTCTCTCTTCCTAAAATAAAATATTCATCAGCTGTCATGTGTTCACTTTAACATAAACAGCAACAAAACCAAGGTGTCAACACTTCAAGGCACATAGAACCCTAATCAACAACAAAAAGGATAAGCAATTTATGCAACTAAGGACAAAGGATAACTAGGGACGATTCAGCAAATAAAATACAAGGATACAGGATACAGGATACAGACACAGAAGTCACAGTAAGGTAACACAACCTGAGGATGTCACAGTAAGGTGACATAACCTGAGGAGTCACAGTAAGCTGACACAACCTGAGGATGTCACAGTAAGGTAACACAACCTGAGGATGTCACAGTAAGGTAACACAACCTGAGGAGTCACAGTAAGGTGACACAACCTGAGGACTCACAGTAAGGTGACACAACCTGAGAAGTCACAGTAAGGTAACACAACCTGAGGAGTCACAGTAAGGTAACACAACCTGAGGAGTCACAGTAAGGTGACACAACCTGAGGATGTCACAGTAAGGTGACACAACCTGAGGATGTCACAGTAAGGTAACACAACCTGAGGATGTCACAGTAAGGTGACACAACCTGAGGAGTCACAGTAAGGTGACACAACCTGAGGATGTCACAGTAAGGTGACGCAACCTGAGGATGTCACAGTAAGGTGACACAACCTGAGGAGTCACAGTAAGGTGGGACAAACTGAGGAGTCACAGTAAGGTGGGACAAGTAGAGAAGGCTCTGTAAGGGAGACAACTAAGATAAACGGATGAGGTCCAGTAAGTAGGGGGAGACACACAACCAGAAAACACATAGGAAAAGACACAAACAGGACAACCAATGGATGCACAGTAAGAGATATAAACAGGAAAAACAGTCACAAGACAAAAAGTACATCCTGAGAGATACAGTAAGGGACACAAACAGGACAGACAGAAGGTACAGTATGGGGCCCAAACAGGACAGGCAGAAGGTACAGTAAGGGACACAAACAGGACAGACAGAAGGTACAGCAAGGGACACAAACAGGACAGACAGAAGGTACAGTATGGGGCCCAAACAGGACAGGCAGAAGGTACAGTAAGGGACACAAACAGGACAGACAGAAGGTACAGTAAGGGACACAAACAGGACAGACAGAAGGTACAGTATGGGACACAAACAGGACAAAGAGAAGGTACAGTATGGGGCACAAACAGGACAAAGAGAAGGTACAGTAACAGTAAGTCATACACAAAGGACAAACTGAAGGTACAGTAAGGGGGACAAACAGGACAAAGAGAAGGTACAGTAACAGTAAGTCATACACAAAGGACAAACTGAAGGTACAGTAAGGGGGACAAAAAGGACAAACAAAGAATGTACAGAAACAACAAATACAGAACAACTTATTTGCACAGAAACCTAACAAAATGAATAAGCAGAGTAGGATATCAGTATATGATTGATTGCCAAAGCCAGTGATCCATGCCATTGAGTATATCATTACTAGCAAAAAGTGGGATATTGAGAAGGGGCTATAAGCTGTATACAGATGCATCTGTTTGCTGACCAATCTCTTGATCAGTATATAAATCATGCAGCTTACTTTTGCTTGCTGAAACAAAAAATGTGAAGGACAAGAAATATCCTATTAGTTGAATGAATTTTCCATTTATCTTTTTATGAAATTATATTTGCTTCACATGATTATCAAATCTGTCAGAAAATTAAAAATTTGAAGTTTCATTTAGCCTAATGAAAGAATAGTAAATATTTAATCATTATGTGCATTCACACAAAAACTCAAATCTCAAATCATTCAATGTAAGCAATAGACACTTTTGCAGACCATATTATGAATTTCATAAAGTGCAATGCCAATAGGACACATCATTATCATCAATGCAAACAGTCACAGCAAACAATATCAAACCAGAACTATATGATTGTTTATGCCTACCTAAATCATTTAAAGGACTCAGAATTTATCTTTCAAAACTGACAACTAATTCCTTCCTTTCTTCTATAGAAAATTCTATACCTGGGTGAGGACTTATCTAAGTAATATATAGTTTTATATGAGGAGTTGTATGCTTGATAAATCAACGTCCAGATCTGCCAAATGGTAGACAAGCATGTGTGTGATCAGTATAACATTCCACAAACATTTAAATCATCTAACTACATCAAATAAATACATGCATGTGATAAGCTACATTACATGGACTAGCAGTCTCCTCATGATAACAAAAATGTTCTTATACATGATTACCAAACTACCCAAAATATATCATATAAGCACCATTTTGCTAACATTATTTCCTGACTGCTATAAATATAGCACTGAAATGGACTATACTACACCCTGCTATAAGTTTTGTAAAACAGGCTTTAGTTCTGTGAAGCCATTATTGAGATACCATACCACAATAAGTTCATCATTGTTCATCGAAGAGATATTTTTCAGAATTGTTCAGCACTTTAGGGAAGATTTCATCGTAAGTCAGTTCTACTGTACTCAACCTTGGAAATAGGTTAAATCATCTCCTTTTATGACTCATTCAAATCTTCTTTCATATAAACATGAAATAGGGTAAAAGCATTAACTATTACAAAATGTTATGAGTGTCCCATAAAACAATGAAAGCATGTCAACAATAATGTACAGGGTATACATGCTGTACACATTTCTATTCACTAATAATTCTCCACTCTCCTCATTTGTTCTAACACTAGCATCAATGTACAGAACATTAAAAACTTGATGACCTGTGTTAGAAGTTCAAAAACACAACAACACAACAAATGTACAAGACATTCTCAAAACATCATGATACTTTGGTAACAACTTGGGATTTAACAGGACAATACCCAATACAACACTACATCTCCAAAAACACTATAAAAGTGACAACAACCTGTGACTAGTGAAACTATGGCTAACTGAGTACATTTAACACAGTAAAACTACCTGTGAACAGCCACTTTGACCAGGGCACATATATGAATGACTACTGGTCAAGTGTCCATACTTACTCTTCAAACTGTTCAAATCCTTCTCCCAATTTTCTGCTGAAATTCAGATTTTAAATCCTAATCAATTCATTAATTCATCAAACAATTAAATCAATTCATTAAATAACAATAGACATTTTTTCAGGTAAAGCTGTCAATTACAGCTACTCAAGAATTACTAAAGAAAATCCACTTCAGAATACAAAATTTTATTTCATTAATGTTTTGTATGTCGAAAAAAATATTTTTTGCTCTACTTAATCAACTTAACTGATCACCATGAAAAAGGAAATAAAATTTATTGTATAGTCAGCATATTTACCAATAAAGTGATAACTGATATCAAACTAATTTATTTGGAATGTGTTTAGTTTGTGTATAAGTATTTGTTAATGCCTGTTGGTGAAGATCATCTGATACCTTTTTTCTGCAGTTTTTATATGATAATGCATGCACCTGTGAGAGTTTGTATGTATGAACAACATTTATTTCACAAGTGCACTTGACTTACAATGTACATTTCCTGTGTGTTTGCATACATGTATGTAAGAGTCACTGAGTGTTATATATGAAATACCTTTTCCTTGGAGCATCTTCTCCCCAGCCAGACACCCTTGAAGGCTTTGGAGGACCACCCTGTCAAAGAAGAGATATTTGCATTTATTTTCATAAATACAAACAGATTTGTGATAGAAACTTGTATAGATTCTAAAGCAAATCTTGATCCTGATTACAACATAATTTGTTTAATCTGACATGCATTAAGCACTGATTCACTAAGATTACCATATCTTCAGGTGACTTCTTTTGTGGTTTTGTTGCCCTCGGCGAGTCCTCCTCAAATGCTGGTGCATCTGGTGGTGTCACATTCTTTGACTGAGCTCGGCGTCCTTGCTTTGCACTCTGTCAATAATGGATTACCAGAATGTTAACACAAAAATTAAAGAACAAAGTTAAACTTTCCATCGACAGAATTATGCATAATTGAACTGTCATTGATAAGGATCTATTATATTGTGATAATACCCTTATTTATAAATAATATAGTCTCCCTGAGGAATATTTCTCAACTTTCAGTCAGAATTTGAAACACCTGTGTCCCAGTCAGTTCCTGTACTGTATATATACATGTAAGAAGTCGTTTGAATGTCAAAGTATATGTGATATCGAAATTACAAAACAACACGAAGAGAAATTATCCATAATTGGATGATGTTTTGCTCGAAGAATTCAACTGTTATTCAGCGAAAGTGGTTGGTTGTCAATATAAACATTCCCATCCACAAGTCATATATACAGTCAAGTAAGTGTGAAGCGCATATACAGCTCTATTCTGCTTAATATCACTATCATATACAATTGCATATTTCTTTACGTGGTTATTCTTAATGTGAAAAAGAGTAAAACATTGCTACCCTAGACGGTTTTGAAGCCGTAGTATTCTCGAATGCCAGATCGTCGTCCATCTTGTGGAATGTGTCCAAGGGAAATAACTCAAACGTGTAGTTTTACCTAAAATAAAAACCGGATTTTGTCACACATGCGGTCCGGAATTATAATGAACGTGTACGAAAGCCCTAATATAAGTCAGCGTCACTTTATTTAAAAGTATATACTTTTTGTTAAAGGGATACAATGCTTTTGTTGTAATATTGGATTCTTCAAGAAAACACCAGTTTGGCATTTTCGCTGGCACAGAATCTAAGGGAAATTCAGTGTGACGGATGATCTAACTTAGCAAAAGGACATCCAGTGACTGGAGGACACAGTACAACCAATACAAAAAGACAGGGGTATACACTGAAGTTCCCGGATGTGTTTAAAAAGGACTTGACTCTGTCTTTTCCTTTCCTTTTCGTTCTTTCTCTCGTTAAATATGGTAACGAGAGACTCATTATTATAAAATCCACATGCTTGATTTCAAAAGCACATAAAAATAACAATTCATACAGAAGCATTTTTTTTATTTATCGTCTTTCTATTTCCCTTCATAGATTTTAAGATTACTATGTTAACTGGTATTTGTATGTAGAGAGTCCGTATCGCTTCAACACGAAAGCTTATTTTCGTCTTCAATATTTGTCAAATCGTCAAAGGCCAAAGCGAGTGTTTTGTAAGTAGTAAAAGTAAATTACCTAAAACATCAGCTGTAGAATGTGTATCATATATATGATAAGATAAAATCTACACGGTAGTTCGCTATTGTTATAAACATATATACATACACATGAAGGTGCGCCTCAGTCTCCAGCGAGTGTGTCATTTTCACAAGAATCTGGACATGAACATCGTTAAGTTGTTCAATCAAACTGGTATCCGATCCTCTTACTACCATTCTAGTACTACATTAAACTCTGTTATAACATCTTTTTTTTTACAGAGAGATAGACGGCAGTACAAATTTGTATGATTCTCGATAAACTATAATGGAGCGCATTCCATGAAAAGTACGTTTAACGCCGAGAAAATATACTGAAGATAAAATCGCCAAAATAATTGAATTCCTGTTTGAGCCCGTGGTTTCCAACTGACTGTTGACATATTCATGTAGACAACTGTGCACCTCATACGACTTAATTGCTTTCATACGAAGCTAAGATTAAGTAAGACAGCTTAACTGAACAGGCCACAAAGACCTCCAAATTCAGTTTCATTTTAAAGAAATATCATTGTTGATGTCTTGTTTTTTTGTTTTTCAAAAATAAAAATTAACAAACCATATAGATCGTATATGTCCAACAGATTCGGAATCAACCGATTATCGTTACATTTCCTACAACGAAACCAACATGAACAGTTTTCACAAATGTGAGTTTTCCGTGTCTAAATAGTAATAATTCTGCTCCCCAGCCTAAGGTATTTAAAGACTTATTCCCAACTTACCACGATTTCTACGTAAGATGTCAACGTAATTTCACCGTCATTAGTTATTTGGAAATATTGTATTTTGTTGTGGGATATCAAGGTGGTTGTGTCCTATGCTCGTTAGTATGCCTGGCGGTTTCGTTGTTAACCTTGTTGTCTTTTGAGAACAAAACGTTATTAATTTGAAATGCCCAAGGTTTATATGGCGAGTGTCGTCCATTAATTAAAAGACACTTATCATTCTTATCCTTTTTCAATGATCTCCTTATAATTTTTTTTCTTCATGTTTTGCCTCTTTTCATTGCTTTTGTGTTTGAAGTAAACATCTCTTGACATGTGGGTATTTTCTCTGTGTCTCTTAACCACTTTCCTGTGAGAAATCCAACGCATTTGGTATGCACATTGCTTAAATACAAATATGTGGACGTTTTTCCGTTTCAATGAAGGCAAGTTGGTTCCTTTTCATTTTCATTGTGAATGCTTTATGTGTGTAATACGACCAATGGAGACTTCGTGAAATGATTACTGACAGATTTAATTAATTTACCGCGATTTTTTTTTCATTACTTACGAGATTCAAAAACCTGGTCTAAGAAATGTTCCCTTCCGGAACACCTGGTCTTATTCTCCTGCTGTTATCTGTTCACAACAGAAAGGAACTTTGTAACTTAGGAAAGTATCTGCAATCGAGTTTATTAGTACGGTCTAGATTCCAACTCTAACTTATTGTATTTTCACTTTGGTTAGCATTACATGAGTATGTGTTTGTCTACAACATTATATATATTGTTGCCATTAATTCCCTGACTACACCACTCTATACCTGTGTATGCCCTGTTCGAGCCTTACGACATACAAGATTATGCTTTATACGTGATAATATAACATATTTTTTATTTCATATTACTTATGTATCAATTATATGATCTTATGAATGCTTTTGAACCGTAAAGCTTCAAGTTAAATAAACAATGAACAATTCTCCTATTCTAAGTTTAGTTCCCCTCCGGAACACCTGGTCTTATTCTCCCGTCTGCATATAATCTTTCCTTTGATCATATTTTATCCTTTCATCAAATTTGAGTTTGAATTCAGATTCTGTTGACATGTCGGTATTTTTTCTTCGTTGTTTTAGCAGGTAATAGACTCGCTATTATAAGTGTTGTCATCACATTAATGGGGGAGTGATGTTTCGTCATGTCATAGATAACGCATGACACGCGTGATAATACTTGTGACGTCATAAACAAATCACGTCATGAAGATGTCATATAGTTGTGTCGGTAGTGAAGTCTCTCTTACAGGGAAATTGATTTGAGAGTTTTAGCTAATTTTTCAGAACGGGTAAAATCAAAAATATAGTCTCATACTCGTACTACTGATGCAATATGAAATTTATTAAAATTCTATTCATGTAATCTTCATTCTAGGAGGAAACAAAGGGAATAATAGTTATGCTATTTCATATTTCACTCACCCAAATGCTCGTGACATAAAAGAAATTGTTCAACTCCTTTAATAAATTTCATTTATATCGGCCCTCATGTAAGATACTATATGTCTGCTACTCACATGAAATACTTTTTGTAAATTTTTATATCTTATGATATTAAGTTATCTTACAAATATGAGATCTTTAGTATAAGATATCAGAAAACCTATTTAACCACATTGTTTGTATACATAACTGATAAGTCTTCATAAGGTATCATATAAAATTGAATACAATGCAGATTACCAACATGGCTCGCTTTAGAAACTTCCACTTGCTTTGCCATTTCTGAGCAGATTTTCTCCAGCAATGTATATTAAATATTACGTCCTTTGCAATTCGTTTTGCTGGTCTGGTTTTTTTAAAGTAGGAAAATGTAAGGAATTACACTATTCACAAAATAAAGAAATACAAGTCTTTTGGGCCTCTTGTTTTGTTCGGAATACTGCCAATGCTCGTTCTGCCATATCGATCACAGATAAGGTGTTTTAACCGCCCCATTCAGAAGTATACTTATGTGTGCCGCTGGGTATTAATTAAATAAGGTTTAATCAGTGGGTATTGTACCTATTTAACGTACCAGTGTGCACCCGTTAGTCAGTCCGTCGTTTATAGTTGTTCTCACTCTCAAATCGTTAATATACTCTCGTATCAAATACATACACATGAATTCGAGGTGTCACAAATCTCGCCACAAAGATTACATGGTTAAATAACACTTTGTCATTTGAAATATATTTGGATTGTGTGGGTACATTTAAACACTTAAGGTAACTCGCATAGGAGTAAAACAAAATGCAATGATTGTAACAGCAGTTATTGAAGATATTACAATAACGCTCTCAACATGTAAACGCTATATACAATATTTACCTTCTGTTCTCCGTTAAACCTTTTATTTGTATGACAAGGAAAACTAACTGAGGATTAACAATTTAGTCAAATGAACAATCTAACTGGAGATTAAGGCTCGCCGGTCGTCAGGGACAACCCTCAACAATGAGATTAGATTAACAGATTAATTATGTACACGTTTGCGGAACCTATGTACGATTGTTAGTATTGTTTTATTACGAGAAACACAATACAGGATTAGAGTGAATTCAAACTACTTATTTTCCATCCAGACAATTTTAACTAATTTTTAACGATGGAATCCACAGAGGAAAGAAAACGGCGAATCTACGGCCCGATTCGGAACCTCCAAGTGGAGGAAATCCGGAGTCGCCTGTCAAAGAGTTGTGTTTTGAAGCCTGGGGAGTACAATTATACCGACGAGAAATTAAAGGCGGTCAACTATGGCACCAGTTACGATACTGATTTCTCCGTAAGTAATGTCAACATCCTTCTCATTCCATAGTCCAAGTATTGCTGATAAATCAAACGTACCTGCCATCAGTCCTAAATACAAATTAATGGGTACTATAATGGGGCGGACACAAACAATAGATATAAAGGGACGATTTTTAAAAATAAATTTGAATTCGAGATTATAATTAAAAAAGATACTCCCTACTAATGAATGCTGCTATCTGGTTTTTGCTGTTCATCAAATGACCTGTGGAACTGTGGACCTGCAGTTAGTATTTACCATTTTCCTTTCCTTTTCGATTTTGTTTTCGATTGTGACTGTTTTGTTTTAATTTCGTATTTGCCATACATTTACTAGATATACATAGATGAGTTGGCCTGCATTGGCGATCGGGAATGGGGAGGGGGATTGGAGTTGCTAGGTTGTTGTGAATCACGACTAGGGAGGGGAGATGAGGATTACTTCTGATAAAACTGTATATATAGGTTGTGAATTACGACTGGGGCCAGTAAAAATGTCATTTACCCTTGAACATGCCCCTAGCCAGTCATTGTCGCAAAATTATTACCTGTCAAAAGACCAAATGCATTTTTTTATTCCACTGTGTGTTGACAACACATTACACCATTGGAATGGGTAATCACCATTTCCATCAGCTAAAAAACATACAAAACGTCAGTTATTTGATTAATAGGGATATATATATATATAAAAAAGATTATATATCATTACGTTTTGAATTGCGACAAAGGCATATACCGTTCGTATTGCTCGGCAACGACACGAGGTCAGCACTGAGTCAATTAAGACTTTCAAATAGGGACAAAAAGTGCATCGCACATGACGCTTGAACAAACACCTCAAGACACACAGATTTTTATTATCTTCTAAAGGTTAAGTTAGTGTGTTATTGTGTATGCGAAGCGATTGTTCTTATTAAGTAAACTGTGGTTCAACCAGTATCCAGTAAACATACAAAGATTACTTTGTGTTTTACCAAAGGAATACATCAAAATCACTTCCTCTGAAGAATTATTTAAAACCAAGACTTCCAAGAGGAGAAAGACAAAATTCATTATATGTATAGATGAAAAATATTCCAGACAACAGTAAACATGAAAGGGATCAACATTCGCAATACTTTTACATCCATTTGCCCGGTACAGGAACAATAAAGGGACTCCGTAAGGAGCTGTCATTATCTACAGTCATGACAAGTTAACATACATTTTGTCACGGAGTAATGTCACTCAAATATTTGAATTACATCGGAAAATATATAATCTTAACTATAAAAGACATATAAAATATCTTTTCTGATCATGACATATATTATGCATTCAAAAGGTATTTTGTAAAATTTATAAGATATCGCATCTTGTATAAAATATGTAAGATATTTCACCTTTCAATTATGTTTTAAAAGATATGAAATATAGGATCTTCAATGAGTTTTCATTTGATAAAAGATTTTAGGAAACTATTGACCAGTCTGCGATTTCATCTTAATTTTGCGAGCTTTGGAGAGAAAAAAAAACCCAAAAATTCTTTGAGATATGTAGCATAAAATAATATGAATACAAAATTGATTGTTTACCCCATAACACAGAAAAGTTACATTCTGACAGGTTTAAAGTAAACATGTAAGGGAGAAATCAAAAGGGACGGACATTTTGTTGCAAATAACATAGCACAGGATAAAGGTATATATCTGGAATTGATCAGATATCTTAGTACAATATACTGTTTTCTAAAATTATATCTATGATTTTACTGTGAATGGTCATGTACTTAGCTATGGAGTGACCATCCCACTTCTGTAAAGTTTGAGTAGATAAGCGGATGGCATTATAGTGTGCACTATAATAAGGGTATATTAGTCCTACAAAATGACGCTCACCTTTACATTAGGATCAAATCCATGTCTACAACAACTAAGGGATCACATAAAACATCCAAGCCCATGGGTGGCAATGCATCAAAAACATTAAAGAAAAGTTGTAATGGTATGTAATGGTAATGAGTGTCGAGTAGTGACGTCACAAATACGGTACCAAATCGTGTTTTATTGAGAGTTAAAGGAAGTGTGTATTGTCACTATTTTACAAGAAAAAACTAAGTCTCTTTCTTGTGCGATTTGGTTTTCATGTTCCGGTAGTTTATTTCTCAAAATCAAAAGAAAAAAGCACGATTGGTGTATTTACATAGTACAGTTGGTGGCCTAGTGAAGTTTGTGTCTCCACAAGATACCAAAGATACAATCGCTGTCCTCAACATAGTACAAAAATGGTGTCCCAACAAGGTACAATCGTTGTCATCACACAGTACAATGGTGTCCCAACAAGGTACAATCGTTGTCATCACACAGTAAAATGGTGTCCCAACAAGGTACAATTTCTGTCATCACATAGTACAATTGTGTCCTCACAAGGTACAATCGTTGTCATCACATAGTACAATGGTGTCCCAACAAGGTACAATTTCTGTCATCACACAGTACAATGGTGTCCCAACAAGGTAGAATTTCTGTCATCACATAGTACAATGGTGTCCTCACAAGGTACACTCACTGTCATTACATAGTACAATGGTGTCCCAACAAGGTACAATTTCTGTCATCACATAGTACAATTGTGTCCTCACAAGGTACAATTGTTGTCATCACATAGTACAATTGTGTCCTCACAAGGTACAATCGTTGTCATCACATAGTACAATGGTGTCCCAACAAGGTACAATTTCTGTCATCACACAGTACAATGGTGTCCCAACAAGGTAGAATTTCTGTCATCACATAGTACAATGGTGTCCTCACAAGGTACACTCACTGTCATTACATAGTACAATGGTGTCCCAACAAGGTACAATTTCTGTCATCACATAGTACAATTGTGTCCTCACAAGGTACAATTGTTGTCATCACATAGTACAATTGTATCTCCACAAGGTACAATCGTTGTCATCACATAGTACAATGGTGTCCCAACAAGGTAGAATTTCTGTCATCACATAGTACAATGGTGTCCCCACAAGGTACAATCGCTGTCCTCACAAGGTACAATTAATGTCATTACACAGTACAATGGTGTAACCGCTAGGTACACTCGCTGTCCTCACAAAGTACAATTGTGTCCCCACAAGGTACAAATACTGTCACCCCACAGTACAATAGTGTCCCCACCAGGTACAATCGCTGTCATCCCATAGTACAAATTGTGTCCCCACAAGGTACAATCGCTGCCATCCCATAGTACAATTGTATCCCCACAAGGTACAATCGCTGTCCTCACATAGTACAATGATGTCCCCACAAGGTACAATCGCTGTCCTCACATAGTGCAAATTGTGTCCCCACAAGGTACAATCGCTATCCTCACATAGTACAAATTGTGTCCCCATAAAAGTTTTTCTGGCATGCTAGTGTTGTTTCCACACCCTAGTGTTAAGCTGTACGATGTGAACCAGTCTACATATGATTGATACTTTTGTAAACGTCAGAATCACCTCGAGATGTTTATGAAATACTGGTTTCCAGTATAATACATTTTGATAGAGTGTTCTAACTTCATGATGTTGTGGTGATTTATTTCTACAGGGGGCCATTCCGGACCCAAGTAACAAACAAGAACAGAAAGGTCAGGTAGGTCGTCAATCTTCGATCAAACTCCGGGTATCATCGGAAGCACTTTTGTGCTGCATGGATATATCATAGAAGCCAGTTATTGCATAAAATGTTTTAATCATCATATCCAGTCGTGTAATATGTTGTTGTAACTGATACTTCCAGCAGAGCTGTGATGTAAAGTCGTGCCTAAAGTCTCATCTCAGCTTTAGAATAAAACCAGGAAGTTTGCTAGAGTAAATGTCATTTCAATTTGAAGGACTTTTTTTAAGAGATGCTGTGCTATTCTAATAAACACATCGATGTGAATACACAAATCTACTTCTGTTTTTCAGTTGACACATCACTTTGAATTGGGTAATGACAGCGGTGCCAACGTAGACGTTAAAACATACCAAAACAGTACGACAAAATCTGACTTTCAGGAAAAGCCATGGTGCAAGGTAATCCCTGACAATGGTAAAACACTTAATAGTTGGTAATTAAGGTGATTCTGTCTAACTATATTAGTGGTATTCACTACAACTTATTTTGGCATGAAATATGTGGGTGATAACTCTCAGTTACTCGTTCAACTAAAGGTCAAGGTGATTATGTTTTTTTCTGAATCCTTATCAATAGACAAAAACGAATTTTCAAATGTTTATAAATACAACATCATGGAAATTTGCAATGCATTTATCATAGCTTTTAATTTGATTCAGCAAATTTTAGAACGATATATCAAAGGATTTTTTTCAATACTACAATTACACGAGGCAAGACAACCACAAACGTTACTGATTTATCTTCTCTCTGTGGCTCAATTAAACACATTAACCACAACGATGCTTTACACCATATATATTGCAAATTAAATAACGATAACTGCATTGCGGCTTAGCCTGTATTATAAATATCAAATAACAGACAGCCAGTACTTAAGACCTGCCATATTGAGAGTGTAGTTATGAAAATCGATATCAAAGAAGCAATGCTGCTATTTAACTAAAGCACTGACAACATATCAATTAATTATTCATTAAAAGACCATATATAAATGAATTCAAGCTGTCTTAATGATACTGACCATCGGCCAAATACAGAGGTATTATTTACTGCACAGCTTGTAGAACTGTTAGTAACTCTGTCATAGGTTGAGCCCAATTTGTTTGACATAATTATCTTTTCTCGTGTTTCAGCTGGATATGGTCGTCTCAAGCAAAGACATAAACTGGCCCGTGAGTTCTATTATAATAAAATAGAAAACAAGTTTAAATATAAATCAACGGCGGTTTGATATAAAAAGGAAAAACTGCTATTTACCCCTATTTTCTCAGTTTTTCATAAATTCCGCTATTCGCACTTATTTCTTCACTCCTTTGAACGAATGGAAATAAAACATGTGTCTTGTAATTTCAGGATATGGCACCTAGATATATGATCAGTAGAAAGACGGAGAATTCAGAATACGCGTCCAATTACAACCCTGGGGTAAGTAATCAAGGAAAAAGATACCACATTCGTATCGCAATGGGTTGGGATTTAATATCTTTAAAAAAAACATTTAACTGATTAAACTATGGGGTTAGTGCTTTTCATCCATAATTCAATATTTGTTTGGGTCGTTTTTGTGTTTACTTTCGTATTCCGTCTCCTAGATTTCCACTATTAAGGCCCTGAACATTCTGTAAAGTCACAAGAATGGCAATATTAGCATATACTGTATTAAGTACACAATTGTATGTCAATTATAAAATCATATGTGATTATTTCGTTAATGAATACTTGGTTCAGTACATGATAATCTGAAACCAACCTTACATGAAATATGTATAAGCCTTGATTATTCCAAAGATGATAAGAACGAACGTAAATAACTGCTCAGTTCGACAGTCGGTATCAGGCATGACTCTGTGCTACTTTCTAAACATACACGTGTAAACAATGTCGCCTTCAAAATATCCAGAATTTACTAAACAATAGCAGGAAAAAACTGCTATTGAAGAAATGAGTCAGCCGAGTTACGGACAATGTTGGCCTGACAATACTTGATATGGCTTGAAAACTGTTGAAATACATCAATTGTTCCTATTCGTAAACATGAATTTTCATGGCCGATAAACTTACTGGTTACATTAAGATAACAAAAGGAAACACTTTCTCAGATTTAAGAAAAAAATATCATTATGTAATACGATTTCGTTCACAACAATGACAATGGAATATTCAATTAAAGCCATATATTGTAATGCGTCATTAAAACGTGGATATTTTCTCTGTTAAAGATCGAGAAGTCATCATCCGAAGGAGCAATGTTCCCAAGGCTCAACACTTCTAAGATGCAGCTTCCAATTGATCAGTCACGCTTTAAGCGACATCGTGGCAACAACATCATGTTCGGTAGCGACAATCCTAGGTAAGTTCAGATATGCACAGAAAAATACACTGCGACTTCACAGCGAGTTTTCTACACTGCTTAACAATAAGATGTTCTGTGTAACTAACATATACAACAACAACCTAAACATAAAAGAAATTCTCCAAATCGGCAACCTCCTTCTGGCTTTAAACGCTCGTTGAAAAACATCCCAGAAAATCTTGTTCTAAATCTTTATGCAGATGACCTATGAGTAGTTTTTATCCGTCTAAGAAAGACAAATGCTTATATAATGAACAGCATGTTGAAACCCTCGTCTGAATAGAGAGCCATCCCCCTCCCACTTTCTGGAAACACTTGTCACTAAAAATACCAACCTAAAGGACGACTTCCTGATGATAAATACCTTCGGACAACCTCGTAGTGACAAATTCCTACGAATACAAGCACCTGTTGTTTTTAACTCCTGATAATCTGTAACATCTGCTTACACATAACATATCAGTGATAAGTATCTTTCAATATCTCCTCAGAGTAATTAACGTTTATCTATACCGACAACCCCTAAGAGACAAAAATAATTATCTGAATGTAAACGACCATTTAAAAATTCGATCAAAATGTTAAGATTGACGTATTTTATTCACTTCAATCCTCAAATTAAAATCTGACTATGAAAGAGCAAGTGCACTGAAACATGACGACTTTCAAGATTCATTGTTAATTTTTTTCTGTCTGTAGCATCTTCAGTGAGAGCCAGCGTGTGTATGGGGTAGGAGATGCCGCCCAGGGTCCAGCCCTCGCATTTTCTCCTGAGAAGCAAACAACGGCACAGGTCAGCAAGGCCATGAAGGACCTCGGCCGGACATCTCACGTCTTCAGATACGGGGACTACAATGGAATCAGTATGACTCATTAATGAATCCCTCGTAAAACTTAAAAAAAAAAAAAAAAAACAGTTCAACTTCTACTTCTGAAACAATACCATCATTTGGTAAACATTTATTGAACACGCAGATGAAATTTAGATTTACACTAGCTTCTCTCCGAAGTGCCAGTTGCTGCGGCTAATAAGTCCAGATCACCGGAAAGTTCGTTATGCTTTCTTATTAAAAAATCTATGAAATAGAGAGCTAGCTACTACTTTGCCTATAATTACTGTCAGGTGTTTATCTGATAATGGTTGTTACAGAGGGTAACTACGACACGACAGTAAATGATGAGTTCGGTCCGCGGACGTTACCCCCGGCGGAGACAGCTGCGCGCGCCCTCAAAGCTGCTGAGTAAGTAGACACTAAAGACATCGAGGAATCTTTGTCCAACTGACATTGTTCTCACCAAACGTTGATTCCAATATATCAATAAGCGTACTCATAGAAAAAAAATCCTATAGGATTTCTCTATTACATGAAGTGCCCGTATACAAATGTACTTTCAAGCGTGTTTCTATTCTCGTATATTGCAAATATAGTGGCTTTCTCTGTTTTCCTTAATTTGGTTTTAATGTAACAGCCTTATTGGCCTTAAAGGAATATACAGAAAACAATTCTCACCGACTTGTATTTGTAAAGGATTATTCTGACTGTAAACTGTCAGGAACGATCATAATCTTGCCATTAATTGTCTTTAGTACTGCCATGAAAACCTTGTTACCAATTTTGTTTTTAGTGGTTTAAAAACTCCCGTAAAGTTTTGCCTATTTACCATTAGGCAATGTCTTGTTTGGTATAATTTAATGCAGCACATGTGTCTTTAACACAATCGATCGAATTTAGATCGCTGTTTTCATTGATATTGTCTTTACTTTAAACAATGAGTCATGATAATGATGTTTTAACTATTACAATTGGTTGTACACAGATATTAATTAGAGATCGTAATGATTTGTTATGCTACATATGATACAGAAATAAGAACCATGGAGTGAGGCTTCAAGAATGATCGAGTCTCGTTTTCAAATTTGTTTGTAACACTTGTAAAAGTGATTTATCCTTGACTGTTGACAGTAAGGCCAGGGAACAAGCTGAGCTCAGTGGTGCGGAACTTCCAAAAACAGGACGAGGAGTCACCCTGCCGGACGACAATACCAGGACCAGTCACCTCGCAGCATACGCCCGAGATGTTACCGTCCCGGTTGTATTCAAAGGTGGGATAAAAAGAATGTGTCGGTTTGATATCCCTTTATCTATATAGCTACTGACTTTTAGATAGATGTTATGAAGCAGTATCGATTTCACTAAAACTCTCTGTCTCTTGGGATATCATTATACATTATTCAGGTTTTCATATTCCAAGACACACGTTAGTGATTATGACTTAACATCTGCTCCATGCCCGGTAAAACAAAATATTGACGTAAAGCGTAGCATAGGATACAAAGGTTAGGAAACCTTGTGTGATTCTAATCTATAGACATGATGTTTACAGGTGCTGCCGATGGAAAGGATTATCAGACCTCTGCCCACTTCAAGGTAAGTTCCCCAAACCAAGGACAACTTTCACGAATACGTTGAACACTACAAATTACTACATTGTCTGTAAGATTGTATAACACATGCAAGTGAATAGCACCTTTTAACGCAAATAAAGAGTTAGATACAGTAGAGACAAACAATGAACTCGTCTGTATCATACTGCTGTTTCGTCCTTCTAGGACTCGTCAGTCATGCTAAGGGCCTAGATAATACTATAAAACATGCTAACTTACATATTTTGACCTTTCTTCATTTTAAAGGTCAGTGTTACATGGTATTATGATCTTGTAATGGTCAAGTTTAAAGATAAACAAAGTATAGGACCAAAACAACAGGTGCACTTTTATTGATTAAACCTATTTGTGTTGTCGTTATGATTGACATAGACTGTCAAGAATATGTATGTGTTTTATGTTGAATTATCAAAGTTAAAGTTTCAAGAATTTTATTGAGATGTCAACGAACCCATGTCTTGTTATGATAATTATAATTATTTCCAGTTTGGACATGACCCAACAACAGTGCACAGTATGTATGGGAAGGACTATGCCTTAGGTGCCATGGCCAAGAGAGGACCACCTCAGCAAACCCCAACAAAGGCTGCAGGCAATGTAATTACCGGATACTGTCTTAAAATTGAAGGAAAAAAGCTTCAGGTTGGAGCTAAATGTTGTGAAGACAGTTAACTGCTATATTTGCCAAGCTTAACTCAGATTAAAAATACTATTTGTAGTCAGAGTAATCCAACATTGTGTCTCTATTAGGATACATAAATGAAACACTATACAGCCTTGAAGTTAATAGATAAATGCATTTTCGTTTATTTTTTCAGATTTTACAAAATGATCCTGCATTTTCGGCATTTGGTAGTACAAGTAACAACGTGGATTACAGCTACCAGCCAGCTATGCCATACAGGGTATGTATGAAATAGGCATTTCAACAAATGCATGTTTACAAACATTTGAGAAGCATTTGTGAGTATTTTGTTATATTTAGTTACATTAGAATACTGTCTGAGATGCTTTCTTCGAAATTAGACACGATAACCAGTTCTTTATGTGTTTAGCGCCTTTCAATACAATATATATTTTGGCACAGATTAGAAAATAATGATTAAACTGCCTCCGACAGCCGTTTCGACCTTCTAACACCCGCCAGTGAGATCGAGGGGCTAAATTGTGGAAATGAATGTCAGAAAGTAAATTTTTATAATTTTTGATATTTTGGAATATTAAGAACGAGTGTCTATTATACAGGTTATGGCGAACCATGGAGCCTAAAATCTATCATTATGGCCGTCCACCTGTATGTTCAAAGAATATTTGTTTCAGTACAAATTTAGAACTGAATGCAGTACAAACAAATAATGAGTTTAACTGCAACATACAGATTTTTCGTCCTTGTAGGACTCCGTTAGTGATACTTAGAGTCTAAATGGTTGAAACCGAGGAGGCGACTGAGGAAAATGAACCTGGTCAAAAACCAGATCGGGAGGTGCACTTATCCCGAAATTCAGTAAATTTAATAATTTTTAAGTTTTGTATGATTTCAATCGAACGTCAAGTAAATCAAGTACACTTTTCCAGTAAAGGAAGCCTCTAAAGATTTGGCCAAACTCTTCAAAGGTAGACTCCTTATATGGTTCTACCATGCCACAGACAGCCTCCCAAATTTTAACACGGAAAAGGTAGTCTAACATTGTAAATTGTACCATGCATGCGAAATTTAGTCTCTCAATATAGTGTCAAACAAGGGGAAGGCAGTCTGTCATTTTGGTTTTAATACGGAAAAGAAAAGGTGATCTATCTATAGGGGTTCCACAATGGAAAAGTTATCTCGACATAATTTCTGCTTTGCGAAGAATGGACTCCTGTCAAGAGAGAGGTTGACTTCCTTCTAGTCTGTTAAGTACTCTGTTTAATATCAACTACAACACACATTACTAAGCTGGTGTGTCGGTAAACGTAATATTATCATGCATTGCTTATGTTTTGTATTTTCAGAATAAAGACGGAAAAACCTTAATGGAGGTCAATTTGGATAAGAGAGATCACGATAATATCATAATGAGTTGTGACCTCAACAGACATGTCCAAGACAGACAGAGTTCTTGTAAGTATAATGATGACTTCGTATCTGTGGTTATCAAAAGTCGCAGTGTTCCCCATGGCACAGTACGTTCAACATTAATTATTTACACTGATCATATTATGAATTGGTGCATTTTCTTACGTTTGACTGTACAGATTTGACGTTAATGGCAGACCTCCTTTGCTTTAATTGCTTTCAAGAACTTTGATGAATTATAATTAATCCTAACATGAGACATAACTTCAGATATAAACCAGCATTGCAACTAAGCCTTTGTAAGAAAAGAATTCGTTCATTGAACGTTGTCACATTATAAGCATGTTCGATATTAACGTTTAATGCAAATTTCACATCGGATAATGGTTAGAGTTATTTTCAAATCAACACCTTTTCTTTTCTTTATTGTAAGATCAAAATGATTTGCTTGGTGTTGCAGTGGCCCACGATGACTACAAGCGTCCTCCCCCGGGCTTTAAGGGTGCAGGACAGCTGGCTGAGGCTGGGGTTAGTTATGACTACCTCACACCAGATGACGCTCTTCCATACCCAGGACTCAACAAGATGCAGTCGGAAGCAAAAGTTAGTATTGTGATGTGTTGTGGAAACAATTTCAATAAAATAGAGATGAGTGGCTTGTCCATAAAGAAGAGGTGTGAGACCAGAATCAGCCAAATTGAGAGTCAGTGCTTAAAAAGAAGCATTACTGGTGCATCTATCGAAATTTTTTAAGGCGTTTCCAAGCCAACGAAAATAAAGAGGATTTGACAATACAAATTACCCTTCCCTTGACATGTTTAGCTATTTTTGTGTTTTTTAAGGGAACACCTTATGATGATAGTTGTAATAGCTTTTTAGACGTAAACAGCTGTCTCAGATTGAGGGTAACGATTTGTTTTCAAAAAGGCAATTATTCAAAATAACGAAAGTACAATATGTCTGATTTGTCATTGCAGAACAACTACATTGGTACGTTTATGACAGGCGGCCATGCCACAGGAAGACGCCTCCAAAAGGACTCACAAACGAAATCGAGACTAAGTGATGGCAAAAGCACACACTTTGTGGTTGGCTACAACCCAATGGACTTTACAACGGAAACACAAATAAAATATCTAGGCGAAAAGAAGAATGACCAGGGGATGAAACCTGCTGGTAAATCGGAGAATGTAGCTCCCGTTAAATTCACGTCTCTAACTATAAGCGAAAACACACAGGATTTGAGGGCTGCTGACCCCAAAATGGTTAGCAACAATGAGAGTCTGATGGCTCAAGCAGCCTACATGTGTCCAGAACCCGAGCACGTGATGAGGACATCCGTGATGAAGGCAGATTTCAAACCACTTCCTGATAGGAAGTAAGTATTGATTATATAAGGGGTTATAGGCGCAGGGAAGGAAGGTATTTCATGTTTCTCTGGAGGTTAGTCTAGTAATCGGATTGCCTTGATATATAAACCAGATGATTTTATTGTATAGAGAAACAAAGAGTAAAGCAGAAGAAATTGACCACAATTGGTCATTTGCCACTATGGGTTACAGTTTACTGTAAACTTCTGTATTTCCATCAACCTCAAGTTTCGTGGTTTAAATAGAATATAACATTCCGCGGGCGCTTGAATTCGTGGATTGCCAGGTCCTCGATATAATTTAATTACTCACAGTTAACTAACTCGTATGACTTCGTGGATTTTAGTATTCCAACGAAATCGTAAAAAGACAGAAATCCACGAAAATGAATGATTTTACATTATTGCCTTCAACTTTTTGTGAACATTTGCGAATACGGGAAAATCAAAGTTAGTGAAACATCTTTTTAAAAAAAAGTCGAAGTAAATGACATTTCTATATGAAGATTATAAAAAGGAAAGAGAGAAATGATTAATTAAACTGGATCATACAGCTATTTCGGCCTTCTAAGAGTCGTCAGTGATGCTTTGTGCCTAAGGTTTGAAGCCTAGGAGCCGACCTCGAAAAATCCAAATGATCGCAAGAAAAATCAAGATGCAGAGGTGCACTAGCCCAGTAAATAGATAAATTTCATGACTTTCGTATATCTGTTACATTCATAAGTCGGAGTTGTTGTAGGAATAGGAAACCAGAAAGTTTTCATTAGAGAAATATAAGTAACAGCTCCATATAAGGAAACCTAAAATTTCTACAGAGTCAATTTATGAAAATATGGCGGCATTTAACGATACAGATTTAAAGAAAGTGCGATAGATTAATTATTCTCACATCTAAGACCAGGATATCCTTTGTAATACCCCATCCTAGATTTTTTTTATCTCGCCCGATCAGTCTAGTTCGCGTTTTCGCGGATTTTGAACGCATCGGTGAATTTATCAGTGTGTAGACGTAGGTGGCACCTACACCAGTGCATTTCATTAAAAACGTAGGTTATGCCGTAGTTTAAATTTCAACGATATTCTATTTAATTAATCGTATTAAAATGAAAATAAGTGCAGCCTTCATTGTTCACGCTGCACTATCTAAATGTTGTTTACAAGTGAAGAGGCTAAAGCCTCGGTTTGAATTATTTTACAGGATCTTCGAATGGGATACCCCGATATTACTCAGTTACAAATAACAGATTTTACTAATCTTAAACATGAACATTGCATTATAGATTTACTGACGCCCAACTTCGGACAATGATGGACATGAACAAGAAAGTTAGCAAAGAGATTGCTTCAACACATCTTTTCCATACTGACAACTCGGGACGTAAGTATGGCAGTTTATAGGTTGTACTAACACATACATTTTCAATTAAGAATTTCATTCTTAGACAATGGTGTTTCATTACTTCTAAAGCATAATACTTACAATCAATACTTATGGTCATCATAACTGTTTTATAAAGGATGTATTTAAGGAAGATTAATCTCTTTTATACTGTAAAAGCTGGTATTTTCGAGAATCTTATTTTCGCTACACATCAGTATGATATATAATCGCGAACAAAATAAATATGACTTCCCTGTAAGATTATTATTATTATTATTATTATTATTTTTGCTTCAAGGACTTGATACAAAATGAAAAAGTAATCTTTCCTATGAGAATTTGTTGACGAGAAGCTAAGGAAGCAAGAGTGAATATTAATATCTTTGTTTACGTTTACAGGAAATAATTACCAAACGACGGCAATGAACGATTTCATCAAACCAGAGACCATGACAGGTAATTGTCATCACGTGTATAATCAATAAGCCACAAAACATAACACAATAGAAATCCTAGGTGACATAAAATCATATTTAAGGAACACAACAGGAATTCTAACTTTAACGAAATAAGGATTGAGTCCACATGTATCATTGTAAAACTGATTTTAAACATTATTTTCTCTAGTTAATATCCATCTCATTAAACTGTAGTTTCGTTAGAAACAACAAGAACAAAAGAAAGACAGCACATTCACTGGCTATTACTAAATTGTATCTAATTGTTTGTATAATCCCTATGTTTCAGGCCAGAAGTTCTTGTCAGCAATGTGATCGTGATATAGACTGAATGAAGGGGCTAGCAAGACAGGCCAAGCAAAATACACAAAAAACAGACCAAACGTTAGGGACCTAGCAAGACAGATTAAAGACAGACCAAGTGTGAGGGACCTAGCAAGACAGATTAAAGACAGACCAAGTATGAGGGACCTAGCAAGACAGATTAAAGACAGACCAAGTGTGAGGGACCTAGCAAGACAGATTAAAGACAGACCAAGAATGAGGGATTTAGCAAGACAGATTAAAGACAGACCAAGTGTGAGGGACCTAGCAAGACAGATTAAAGACAGACCAAGTGTGAGGGACCTAGCAAGACAGATTAAAGACAGACCAAGTATGGGGGACCTAGCAAGACAGATTAAAGACAGACCAAGTGTGAGGGACCTAACAAGACAGATTAAAGACAGACCAAGAATGAGGGATTTAGCAAGACAGATTAAAGACAGACCAAGTGTGAGGGACCTAGCAAGACAGATTAAAGACAGACCAAGTGTGAGGGACCTAACAAGACAGATTAAAGACAGACCAAGAATGAGGGACTTAGCAAGACAGATTAAAGACAGACCAAGTGTGAGGGACCTAGCAAGACAGATTAAAGACAGACCAAGTGTGAGGGACCTAGCAAGACAGATTAAAGACAGACCAAGTGTGAGGGACCTAGCAAGACAGATTAAAGACAGACCAAGTGTGAGGGACCTAGCAAGACAGATTAAAGACAGACCAAGTGTGAGGGACCTAGCAAGACAGATTAAAGACAGACCAAGTGTGAGGGACCTAGCAAGACAGATTAAAGACAGACCAAGTGTGAGGGACCTAGCAAGACAGATTAAAGACAGACCAAGTGTGAGGGACCTAACAAGACAGATTAAAGACAGACCAAGTGTGAGGGACCTAGCAAGACAGATTAAAGACAGACCAAGTGTGAGGGACCTAGCAAGACAGATTAAAGACAGACCAAGTGTGAGGGACTTAGCAAGACAGATTAAAGACAGACCAAGTGTGAGGGACTTAGCAAGACAGATTAAAGACAGACCAAGTGTGAGGGACCTAGCAAGACAGATTAAAGACAGACCAAGTGTGAGGGACCTAGCAAGACAGATTAAAGACAGACCAAGTGTGAGGGACCTGACAAGACAGATTAAAGACAGACCAAGTGTGAGGGACAAAGGGACAGATTAAAGACAGACCAAGTGTGAGACAGATTAAAGACAGACCAAGTGTGAGGGACCTAGCAATAAAAAGACAGACCAAGTGTGAGGGACCTAGCAAGACAGATTAAAGACAGACCAAGTGTGAGGGACATAGCAAGACAGATTAAAGACAGACCAAGTGTGAGGGACCTGACAAGACAGATTAAAGACAGACCAAGTGTGAGGGACCTAGCAAGACAGATTAAAGACAGACCAAGTGTGAGGGACCTGACAAGACAGATTAAAGACAGACCAAGTGTGAGGGACCTAGCAAGACAGATTAAAGACAGACCAAGTGTGAGGGACCTAGCAAGACAGATTAAAGACAGACCAAGTGTGAGGGACCTAGCAAGACAGATTAAAGACAGACCAAGTGTGAGGGACCTAGCAAGACAGATTAAAGACAGACCAAGTGTGAGGGACCTAGCAAGACAGTGAGGGACCTAGCAAGACAGATTAAAGACAGACCAAGTGTGAGGGACCTAGCAAGACAGATTAAAGACAGACCAAGTGTAAGGGACCTAGCAAGACAGATTAAAGACAGACCAAGTGTGAGGGACCTAGCAAGACAGATTAAAGACAGACCAAGTGTGAGGGACAAGACAGATTAGCAGTGTGAGGGACAGATTAAAGACAGACCAAGTGTGAGGGACCTAACAAGACAGATTAAAGACAGACCAAGTGTGAGGGACCTAGCAAGACAGATTAAAGACAGACCAAGTGTGAGGGACCTGACAAGACAGATTAAAGACAGACCAAGTGTGAGGGACCTAGCAAGACAGATTAAAGACAGACCAAGTGTGAGGGACCTAACAAGACAGATTTAAGACAGACCAAGAATGAGGGACTTAGCAAGACAGATTAAAGACAGACCAAGTGTGAGGGACCTAGCAAGACAGATTAAAGACAGACCAAGTGTGAGGGACCTAGCAAGACAGATTAAAGACAGACCAAGTGGGAGGGACCTAGCAAGACAGATTAAAGACAGACCAAGTGGGAGGGACCAAGTGTGAGGGAGCAAGACAGATTAAAGACAGGGAAGTGTGAGGGACCTAGCAAGACAGATTAAAGACAGACCAAGTGTGAGGGACCAAGTGTGAGGGACCTAACAAGACAGATTACTTAAGACAGATTAAAGACCAAGTGTGAGGGACCTAGCAAGACAGATTAAAGACAGACCAAGTGTGAGGGAAGCAAGACAGATTAAAGACAGACCAAGTGTGAGGGACCTAGCAAGACAGATTAAAGACAGACCAAGTGTGAGGGACCTAGCAAGACAGATTAAAGACAGACCAAGTGTGAGGGACCTAGCAAGACAGATTAAAGACAGACCAAGTGTGAGGGACCTAGCAAGACAGATTAAAGACAGACCAAGTGTGAGGGACCTAGCAAGACAGATTAAAGACAGACCAAGTGTGAGGGACCTAGCAAGACAGATTAAAGACAGACCAAGTGTGAGGGACCTGACAAGACAGATTAAAGACAGACCAAGTGTGAGGGACTTAGCAAGACAGATTAAAGACAGACCAAGTGTGAGGGACCTAGCAAGACAGATTAAAGACAGACCAAGTGTGAGGGACCTGACAAGACAGATTAAAGACAGACCAAGTGTGAGGGACCTAGCAAGACAGATTAAAGACAGACCAAGTGTGAGGGACCTAGCAAGACAGATTAAAGACAGACCAAGTGTGAGGGACCTCCTAGCAAGACAGATTAAAGACAGACCAAGTGTGAGGGACCTACCAAGACAGATTAAAGACAGACCAAGTGTGAGGGACCTAGCAAGACAGATTAAAGACAGACCAAGTGTGAGGGACCTAGCAAGACAGATTAAAGACAGACCAAGTGTGAGGGACCTAGCAAGACAGATTAAAGACAGACCAAGTGTGAGGGACCTAGCAGATTAAAGACAGACCAAGTGTGAGGGATTAAAGACAGACCAAGTGTGAGGGACCTAGCAAGACAGATTAAAGACAGACCAAGTGTGAGGGACCTAGCAAGACAGATTAAAGACAGACCAAGTGTGAGGGACCTGGCAAGACAGACCAAGTGTGAGGGACCTAGCAAGACAGATTAAAGACAGACCAAGTGTGAGGGACATAGCAAGACAGATTAAAGACAGACCAAGTGTGAGGGACCTAGCAAGACAGATTAAAGACAGACCAAGTGTGAGGGACCTTACAAGACAGATTAAAGACAGACCAAGTGTGAGGGACCTAGCAAGACAGATTAAAGACAGACCAAGTGTGAGGGACCAAGTGTAGCAAGACAGATTAAAGACAGACCAAGTGTGAGGGACCTAGCAAGACAGATTAAAGACAGACCAAGTGTGAGGGACCTACAAGACAGATTAAAGACAGACCAAGTGTGAGGGACCTAGCAAGACAGATTAAAGACAGACCAAGTGTGAGGGACCTAGCAAGACAAGACAGATTAAAGACAGACCAAGTGTGAGGGACCTAGCAAGACAGATTAAAGACAGACCAAGTGTGAGGGACCTAGCAAGACAGATTAAAGACAGACCAAGTGTGAGGGTAGCAAGACAGATTAAAGACAGACCAAGTGTGAGGGACCTAGCAAGACAGATTAAAGACAGACCAAGTGTGAGGGACCTAGCAAGACAGATTAAAGACAGACCAAGTGTGAGGGACCTAGCAAGACAGATTAAAGACAGACCAAGTATGAGGGACCTAGCAAGACAGACCAAGCTAGAGGGACCAATCAACGCAGACCAAAGACAGACCAAACATGAGCAACCAATCAACGCAGACGAAAAACAGGCCAAACATGATGAACCAATCAACGCAGATGAAAAACAGACCAAACATGAGCAACCATCAACGCAGACGAAAAACAGACCAAACATGATGAACCAATCAACGCAGACGAAAAACAGAACAAACATGATGAACCAATCAACGCAGACGAAAAACAGACCAAACATGATGAACCAATCAACGCAGACGAAAAACAGACCAAACATGAGCAACCAATCAACGCAGACGAAAAACAGAACAAACATGATGAACCAATCAACGCAGACGAAAAACAGACCAAACATGATGAACCAATCAACGCAGACGAAAAACAGACCAAACATGATGAACCAATCAACGCAGACGAAAACAGATCAAGCATAAAGGACCCACCGAGTCAAGTTATTTCTCGTCTATAAAACGTTATAATGTATTCATCATAGTCTGTGATGTAGAGCTGTTCTGAGCATACTGTGATAGATGTGTACCGAGCCTGGATATATTACGAAAGGAACAATAATATTATGTTTTTTCATGTGTTACATGTATCTTGTTATTTAAATTATTTATGAGGATTCATTTCAATTAGCATATTGAAAATTGCTGGCATAACGTTTTTATTCTTTAATATGAAACAATAGAAATGAAGACTTCACTGTATTTAAGACGATAGCTGATAGATGTATTTGCAATGATTAGCAAGTTTTTTTCAGATATAATGAAAAAGACACATAGAAGTTACGGTCCATGGAAGGAAGCTTCATGAAATAAAAAAAACTATACTGATTTCCAATTTTCTTATTGTATTTCCTAATGTATGAATCACGTGAACAAATACTATCAGTCATCTAGAACTACACATCACAACTTTTTACCATCGTGGCAAAACTAGTTCATGACGACAAAATCTTGGAACAATATCACTTAACCTATTCCATTCAACCATTGAATACACCAAGAAACAACGTATTTGTTTGATGTTTTAAAATACCAAGTCACTGGAGTAGAAATTGACAAATATATAGTGACCATAACAAGCATGTATTAA